GAAGAGGGCATTGAATTTGTCATTTGACATTTTAGAAAAAGTGGTTTTAGTGGAGAGAAACAGAAACCAATTTTTAGTGAAAATTAGTAGATGGTCCTGAATTGCAGAAAGAGACTTTGAAATATTTGTTTGATAAATTTTGCAGTGAAGGAAAAGACAAATGGTGTGGGTAGATTGAGAGAAAATTAAAGGGAAAGTCCTTTGAAAATGGGGGGAAATGTAAGAGTTTATAATTTATTACCTAATAACCAATATTTGTAACCAGACTTCTTAAATTTTGCCAATCTAATAAGTGAAAATTATTTGCTTTGCTGTATATTCAATTATAAATAAAACAGTCTCCTTAAAACTCATATTGGCTTTTTCATTTGTTAGAAACTTTTAATCAGTGCAATTAATTTTTCATCATCAATTTGAAAAATGTTTTGTTAGTAGTCTTTCAACTTTATTCAGACTATTTTAATAATCTTATTATCAGTTAAGTTTAGACACAGTAATAGAAATCCAAACAAGAGTGGTGTAACAAAAAGTGTGTTTTTCTCTCACATCTGAAGATGCCCAGTCACCTGTTTTATCACCCGTACTTTGTTCCTCTACTTCCAGGACTTGGCTGGAGCACTGGTCTTTGGCTCCAAGATCCAAGCAGGGATATGGGATATAGGAATTAGATAGTTTGAATCTCTCCCCTTTTAGAAACTTTTCTAAAAACCTCATTGAATATATTCTACTTTTATTTTGACAGGTGTGTTATTTGGCCACCACTTATTGTAAGGGGACTGAGAAATGTAGTTTCAGCATCAAACAAAATTATATTTCAGTTAGTAAGAAAATTTTTATATGTAAAAATTTTATATATATATATATATATATACACATACATACACACAAACATATATATAATTTCCCACAATGTCATATATATGTATATATATGTGTATATATACACATATACATATATATTACATACATTTATATACTTATACACTTACTAGGCCTGATGCACAAAATTCATGCAAGAGTAGGCCTTCCTTCCCCTGGCTGCTGGCACTGGCCTCCCTCTTGCACCCAGGACCTGGGCTTCCCTCCAGCCACCAGCAGGCACCTGGGACCCGGGCATCTCTCGCAGCTCTGACTCTGTCCAGAAGGATGTCCAGCCTAATTAACATATTACACTTCTATATCACAACTTTTTATATCACAACTTTTTAATATATAACAATTTGTCAATGGATTGACACTTAGGATGTTTCTATATCTCGTCTACTGTGAATAGTGTTGCAGTGAATATGGGAGCACTGATATCTCTTTGAGATACTGATTTCATTTCTTTTGTTTATACACTCAGAAGAGGGATTCCTGGATCATATCGTAGTTGTATTTTTATTATTAATTTTTTAGGAAACTTCATACTGTTTCCCTTAATGGCTATACTAATGTATAATACATCTCCACCAACAGTATACAAGGGTTCACTTCACTTTCCTTCACATTCCTGCCAGCCCATTGTCTTTCATTTTTTTTTATAATTAGCCATCCTAACAGGTATGAGGTGATACCACATTGGTTTTGTTTTGATGTTCCTGATGTTTAGTGATGTTCAACACTATTTTATATACTAGTTAGCAATTTGTATGTCATTTTGGGAAATATGTCTATATTCATATCCTTTGCCCATTTTTTAATTGTGTTGTTGGTGGTTTGTTGTTCACGTTTTTTGCTGTTGACTTGTATGTTCTCCTTATATATTTTGGATCTTAATCTCTTATCAGATAAATTATTGCTAATATCGTCTCTTATTTTGTTAGGTTATTTTATTTTGTTGATTCCTTTGCGATGCAGAATCTTTTCAGTTTGATGTAGATGATATGTTAATTAGCTTGACTAGTAATTTTTTTTTTGTGTGTGTGTGTGTGTGTGTGTGTCTATCTCAAATCATTGTATTCTACACCTTAACTGTATACAATTTTAGTTTTGAAAGATAACAAAAATAAATTTAAAAAGTAAAGGCATCTGGAAATAGGGTAGGCAGGTAGCAGTTTCCATGAATAAACTTACTACTTTTTATCTGTATGGCTTCTGGGTTTATTATGTAGGTAATCCTTCCAAAAGCTTGGTTGTAAAAAGTGAGGTAGCAGAGAGCTTTTGTTCATTTCCTTCCAAATGGAGAGTTTATTAATCCTTTTTCCTCTTGATTTTATCCCCTGCTTTCAATGCTACCCTTACTTATCTTTTAAATTCTCAGACAGATTTGCTTCCTCTGTCTTCTCTAGTCTCTCCTTTCTTTAGTACCAAACTAAAGAAACACCATGGTTTTGTAAACACCATGATTCTACCATCTGTATGGGATAGGATTAACACTTCCCAATTGTTTTTAGTATTTTCTTACCTATTGTTAAATAATTATTTTTACAAATGAATTTCAGTACTTAATATTTCCATGTGTTAGCAGCTCTTCACCTTGCCTCCAAAAATCGTTTTTGTGTGTGTGTGTGTTTTTTTCACCTGAGAAATTAATGTATTGGTTAATTTAGGCAGAATTAACCATTTTACAACCGTGTATTTGTTTCTCAATAGTTTAATATTTTCTGAAAGGTCTTATATATTTTTAAATTTTATTTTTAGAAACTTTTCTATTATTGGAATATTTTATTCCATTTAAGTTTTAATTGTTGCAGTTGTGATAAAATATATTTAACATAAATTAGCCATTTTAATCATTTTTTAATCCTTATCCAAGGATATGTTTTTATTGATTTTTGAGGGGGAGAGAGAGACTGACAGATATCCATGTGAGAGAAACATCAATTGGTTGCCAGTTGTTTCCCATAAACACCCCATTCAGAGATCATACCCACAACCTAGGTAAACATACCTTGACTGGGAATTGAACTTGTAACCTTTTGGTATATGGGACCATGCTCCAACCAACCGAGCCACCCAGCCAGGGCTTACTATTTTAACCATTTTTAGGCATTGAACCATTATAGTTCAATGCCATTAAGTATATTGATATTGTTATGCAGCCATCACTATCATCCATGTCCAGAATGTTTTTCATCATCCCAAACTAAAAATTCATACTCAATAGACAATAACTTTCAATTCCCCCCTTTCTCCTAGCTTACTAACTACTGTACTGTTAATTTGACTATTCTTAATTCATATAAGTGGAATTATACATTATTTGTCCCTTTGTGGCTAGTTTATTTTACTTAGCATAATGTCTTCAAGGTTTATCTACATTGTAGCATGTCTCAGTTTTCTTCCTCTTTAAGGTTAAATAATGCGTGTGTGTGTGTGTGTGTGTGTGTGTGTGTGCGCGCGCGCGCGCGCACACCACATTTTCTTTATCCATTTACCTGCCAATGGACATTTGGATTACTTCCACTTTTTGTCTACTGTAAATAATGCAGCTATGAATATGGGTGTACAAATATCCTTTTAAGTCCCTGATTTCAACTCTTTTGGGTATTTGCATTGAAAGGGAATTGCATGCTTAATTCTGTGTTTAATTTTTGAGGAACCACTCTACTGTTTCCACATTGACTACTCTAATTTCATTTTCACCAACAATGCAGAGGCATTCCAATTTCTCTAAATCCTTACCAACACTTATTTTCTGTGCCCTTCCTCTCATGTGTGTTTAAAAAATAGCCATTCTAATTACTATATTGTGGCTTTGGTTTTCATTTCCTTAATGGTTAGTGATGTTAGGCATCTTTTCATGTGTTTATTGCCATTTGTATATCTTCTTTGTAAAAATATTCAAGTCCTTTGCCCATTTCTAATTAGGTTGGTTGTTTTTGCCATTGTTGTCAGGTTTCTTTTTATATTAGGGATATTAACTCCTTGTAAGATACATAATTTCCAAATATTACCTCTGATTCTGTGGGTTTCCTTTCCATACTCTTGACAGTGGGGTTTTTTTGTTTGTTTTGTTTTTTTTTCACAAAAGTGTTCTGAGGTAGCTCCATTTATTTATTTTTGCTTTTTTTTTGCCAGTGCTTTGATGTTATCCAACAAATCACTGCCAAATCCAATGTCATGAGGCCTCTGTTTATGGTTTCTTCTAAAATTTTAATAAATATAGGTCTTTTGTCCACTTGAGTTAATTTTTGTATATGATGTAAGTTAAGGGTTCAGACTTCTTTTGCATGTTAGTACCCAGTTTTCCCAACATCATTTGTAAAAAGACTGTCCTTTCCTTATTAAATAAATGGTCTTGGCACTCTTATAAAAATCCTTTTTGACTATATATGAGAATTTATTTCTGGGCTCTCTATTCTATTCTATTCTATTCTATTGGTCTGTCTGACTTGATGATTGTATTCTAGTAAGTTTCAAGTTGTTTATTTTTTGTATGAAAGAACACTAGTGAACTTAAGTATTAATTAGTAACCAGGTACTTTACTAAAGTCTTATATAGTTTTTCAGTTGGTACTTTTCTCAAATTTTATCTTATTTTTGTCTAATTTTGTTGCCTTTAAAACAATATTAAATAATTATGCTATGTACATATTGTATTTATTTTTCTTATGATTTAATAGGAATTTTTTTAATATTTCACTATAGAGCATGATGGAGATTTTGGTTTGAGATGTGATGTGCTCCTGAGCTTTTTTTTTTTTTACTTAATTTTTGTTTCAGAGAGGAAGGGAGAGGGAGAGATAGAGACATCAGTGATGAGAATCACTGATTGACTGCGTCCTGCACACACCCACATTGGGGATCGAGTCCACAACTTGGGCATATGTCCTGACCAGGAGTCGAACCGTGATCTCCTGGTTCATAGGTCTATGCTCAACCACTGAGCCACACCGATTGGGCCTGAGCTTTTGACGTTGGCATCAAAAGCTTAATTGCAGTTTGTTACTGTTGCCATTAACAGTTATAAATTGTTGGTCTGAAGCTATCATAAAAGAATTGCCCAGTTTGGGGGTTCTAATATACAATCTCATATCAGAGGACCTTAACTATTTGACTTTTTTTATTTTTTTCAGAATGGTCAAAGTTTTCTGGTTTTGGATGAACAAAGGTTTGCAAAAGAAATACTTCCCAAATACTTCAAGCACAATAACATGGCAAGCTTTGTGAGGCAACTGAATATGTGTGAGTATGGACAGCAGTATATTTGAAGTACTGTCATCAGCCACTGATTAAACAGTTTTTTTCCATTAGAATGATAAGGAGGAAATATACTACATAGAAGCACTATTAAATTTTGACTTCTCTGTTTTAGTCATCTGAATTTTGAATCTTTTTCAGATGGTTTCCGTAAAGTAGTACATATTGACTCTGGAATTGTGAAGCAGGAACGAGATGGTCCTGTTGAATTTCAGCATCCTTACTTCAAACAAGGCCAGGATGACTTGCTGGAGAACATTAAAAGGAAGGTGGGTGGTGTTAACATGATTAAATTAGGGCATTACCATGTCATACACTTGGCTGAGACATCAGTGTTGAAATTGAGAATGTATAGAAATACATTGGTGTTCTTTGTTAGGATAACTTAGACTAATAAAGTTTTAATTATTTTCCGCTATTTTTCCCTCCTGGTGCTGAATTATACTTAGTGCTCAAACACCTTAAAAGGGAAGGAAAATGTTTGCATGCTGACTGAGGATGAGGAGTCATTCATATTGGGATAGCTCACTCCTTTTAATTTAGCTTAAAAAAATGTAAGCTCTATTAGAACGTAAATTCTGTGGAGGGCTTTTTATGTTGTTTACTGTTGAATTCAAATGCCCAGAATAAGTATATAGTAGGCATTTAACAGTACATTTTTTAATGAATTTTTTACTGAAATATCTTACCAAATCCAGAAAATGGGGGTGGAAGGGTAGAGAGGTAAAAGGGCAGTGGGCCATGGAAGAAAATGCCTAACAAGAAGCTATTACTGCATAAATTTAATTAGACATGGAATGTGATAATAAAGAGGCTTGGGGAAATTACAGGGAGTTTGACAGAATGAAATGAAGGGGGAAAAAAGCCCTTAAGGTGTTCCTGCTTTTGGAAACTGGAAATTTACCCACATTTAAAAAAAAAAAAATAGACTGATTATTCTTTATCCTCTCTCTGAACTATGAAGTGTATTCTCTCCCTAGAATCTTATCCAGGTCTTTTTGGAAATAGATTACTTCCTGAACAAGCTATAAGATCCTCTTAATAGGGAAGCTTTGAATTACAGTCAAGGCATTTGTTTGACATCCTAAATATGCTTTTTGAAAGGTTTCATCTTCAAAACCAGAAGAAAGTAAAATTCGTCAGGAAGATTTAACAAAAATTATTAGTAGTGCTCAGAAGGTTCAAATAAAACAAGAGACTATTGAGTCCAGGCTTTCTGAGTTAAAAAGGTAAAGTATTATTTCCAAATATAATTCTGTTATGGGGTTGGTGTGTTGGTTGTGTGTTGTGAATTGGAGGTTAGTGCTTTAAGTACTTTTAGAAAATGTTGTTGAAACCAAGGTCAAAGATTACTTTTCTCTAAATATTGGTTCCCTTTATTTTTAATGTGTAGCCATAGACTTTACCCCAATATTGTATCTTCATGATGGTGGTCGAAAGAATATAAAAATCTGAGCTTTTGAAACAATATTATACACATGCCTTAGTATTTGATGAAAGAGTAGATCTTTAAATTAGTGTAGGAAATATGATTCTACATAAGTTTTTTTTCTTTTCTTTTAAAAAATATATCTTTATTAATTTTAGAGAGGAAGGGAGAGAGAGAGAGAGAGAGAGAGACCCCCACCAGTTGGTTGCCTCCTACATGCAACTTCAGACTGCACCTGCAACCTGGGTATGTGCCCTGACCAGGAATGGAACTTGTGATCCTACGGTTCATAGGACGGCACTCAACTAACTGAGCCACACAAGCCAGGAGAGGTTAGCTTTAATATGATCATACACATGAGGGCACACAAAGTACTACATGTGCTACCTATTCTTTTTTTGTGTGACCTATCTCTTAGGAAAAAATAGGACATAAAAAATAGGGGGGGAAAGGACACAAGTCTGAAAAAGTACAGTATTTTGTGGGGGGGTAAGTATTAAAGTCTCATTTTCAATACCCCCTATTTGTAAATATAGTTCTTTTTGTAATAGTTTGGATTGAAGAAGATGGATTTAGTGGAAATTAACAAAACGATGAATATTAAACATGTAATAGGTGGATTATCTTTTATGTCTTCTCAGCATTATCATTGCTGCTAACATTCAATAGCAATACAATTTCAATAAATGTTGAATGAAGGAAAAGAAAATATTATTCCTGGTCCAGTTAATTGGTTTGCCATATATTTGAATATGCTTTTCAAAGACAAATATTTCCTAGTGTTTTTATACGCTTGTTTTTTTAGACACATCTTAATATACCGTTTTTAGAATCTGATTGACTTTAGTTCATCTTTAACCCTTAGCAAATTATTTGTGTGATCTTGGACAAGTTTTCTCAATTCTCTGAGTCTTAGTATCCTAATTTATAAAATAGAGATAATAATTCCCTTCCTGATGCATTTGAGAGAAGTTTAAATGATTAGTACATATAAAATGCTTATGATAGTACCTGGAGCATATTAATTACTAGGTAAATATCACTTCCCTTTAAGAATTGTTTTCTAAGCACAAGTACTGAATTCACTTGGTAGCCATAGTTGAAAGGTTAGCTTAAGCAAGAAATAATGAACCAGATTGTCAGAGAAATAAATTGCCTACTACTATATGGATGTAGGCATGAGCCTTAAGTTTTTGTGAATATAGTGTCATGAGTAGAAGCTACTGCAGTTATCAAAGAATGATTCTGTATTTGTGTCAAGATAGTTGTCATCTATATAATTGAATCAAAGATTTTCTAGTCTCATAAAAATATATAATAACTACTTAAATCCTCTGGTGTTTTTTATCTTTATTTTTAATTTTTAAAAATTTGTTATCCCCATGTCTTTAATTCTCCCCCCCTCCCACACACATACACCTTTAGCAACCATCAGCTAGTTCTTTATATTTGTGGTATTCTCTGTTATGCTTAATTAAATATATTAGGGTCTGGCTTTCTGACTGAATTTTTTTTTTTTTTTTTTTTGCTTTTGTTTTTAAATAAATGATGACATAGTGAGAATGAGTCCCTTTGGAAGGAGGTGTCAGAATTACGAGCAAAACATGCACAACAGCAACAAGTTATTCGAAAGGTAAGCTTTTTCCCTCATGATCCTAATTGCGTGTTTTAATAAGCACCATTTGTGACCCAAAGAATACTTTTTGAATAGTCCGTGGTTGATTTTAGTTTCTTATATGTTAGGTGCACAATTAGAAGTAAAATTATGAAATCAAACAAATTAGGCCAAGTGTTAATATTACTTTTAATAAAAAATATAGTAATTTCTTACTCCCAGTTAATGTCATTAACTTTTATTTTTTTATTTTTTATTTTTTTAAATATATTTTATTGATTTTTTACAGAGAGGAAGGGAGAGAGATAGAGAGCCAGAAACGTCCATGAGAGAGAAACATCAACCAGCTGCCTCTTGCACACCCCCTACTGGGGATGTGCCCGCAGCCAAGGTACATGCCCTTAACTGGAATCGAACCAGGGACTTTTCAGTCCACAGACCGATGCTCTACCACTGAGCCAAACCGGTTGTGGCAAATGTCATTAACTTTTAATAAAGATCCTTTTGCCTGACAGAACAACTTTAAAATATTTTATTCTTAGATGCATAATTAATACATTGTCAATTTCTTACACAGTTATTATAAAAAACAAAGCTTTATTATGTGGGGACTCTTTGTTCATTTGTTTTTACTATTTTTTTACTCTAAAAGGCATAAGTACAGGTTCAGAAGATAATGTTTTCAAATCAGTTGACCAAATTATGAGTTCAAAAAAATGAGTTATGAATATATGTCACTATTAGTCTTTGCAGAAAAGCAGTTAATATAATTTTGTAAAATAAATCCTATATTTTCGTATTTGAGCTGAAAATTGCTGGAGGAACTGAGAATCCCTTTGTTGCATTGTTTCTTTGTGATTTGATCTATTCGTATAATCTTTCATATGTTAATAAGAGGTGTAATATAAAAGTAATTAAAGTAGCTATTTTTTACTCATGAGTAAATTGGACTTTTAAGTTTAAACAACAGAATTTTCTTGGGGGAGGGGGACACATAGTTGGAGAGCTTCAGCTTGTCCATGCTCAGAGGACTTTAGCTAAAAATAGCATTATGACCGACAGGATTTGAATCTAGTGGAACAGGCTTAGAAAAGAGATGAATGGTAGTTGCAACCTCTGGCCTATAGTCAAAATAGCATATTTTTAATTTTTTTTAAATTATTATGCAAGTGAAGTTTGAATGTAAAATTCAATTCTGAGTCCCAAGTTACATATGTTTTCAAAACTTTCCATAGCTAATTTCAACATGCAGTCCTATTTATTAAGAATACCTGATTTTTAAACGATAATGTACTTTAACCTGTTACTTTATTTTTTTTATTTTTTTATTTTTTTTAAATTTATTTTATTGATTTTGTACAGAGAGGAAGGGAGAGATAGAGAGAGAGTCAGAAACATCGATGAGAGAGAGTCATCGATCAGCTGCCTCTTGCACACCCCCTACTGGGGATATGCCCGCAACCAAGGTACATGCCCTTGACTGGAATCGAACCCTGGACCTTTCAGTCCCCAAGCCGACGCTCTATCCATTGAGCCAAACCGGTTTCGGCAACCTGTTACTTTATTTTTAAAAATCTGTTCCTCATTTTTCAGAAAACAATATTTTGCTTACATATTAACTTATAATATCTGCAATTTGTTGGTTTTTTACCCCCCTAATGGCAAGAATAGTTTGTAACTTATATAACATTTCAGTTTTTCATGAAAGCTAACATTCTATCTGCTCAGATTTGAGTTTGAATCTATGTGTTTTGTTGGGGGTTAGGGAGTTTATATAATCATTTTTTCTCTATTCCTGGAATTGTTTTTAATTCTGCAATTTACTCTTGGCTGTAGATGAATTGAAAATAGTGTATGTGGCCGAAACCGGTTTTGCTCAATGGATAGAGTGTAGGCCTATGGACTGAAGGTCCCAGATTGGATTCCGGTCAAGGGCATGTACCTTGGTTGCGGGCACATCCTCAGTAGGAGGCAGCTGATCGATGTTTCTCTGTCATCAATGTTTCTGACTCTCTATCCCATGCCCTTCCTCTCTGTAAAAAATAAATAAAATATATTTTAAAAAAAGAAAATAGTGACTTGTCAGGTGCAGAAGTCACATGTGGTATATGTTAGATGCCTCATCTTCTTCAGGTTATAAAGAAGATGAGGCATCTAACTTATACCACATGTGCAGTGGGATGGCAGAAGTGTAAAAAGAACTAAGAGGTAAAACAAACTTCAGAAGAAAGTTAGCCAGTGATTCATGTTCTTATAAATTCAATTACTAATGTTTCTAGAATTTTCCCATAATACTTTTTTATAAATGAAAAAAAATAATTGAAGTTGAATGATTTCAAAGATATCTTTAAGCATAAATATATTTTTGTCATCTCTCAGCATTTTCTTTTGAGTAAGCAATATAGTGGCTAACCTTTTCATATACTCTAATGTTGTCTGACCCTTCAGTTTAAAAGCTTATATTTTGCAGTGATTAAGGAAAAGAAGAAAAAAGAAAATAAGGAAAAGAACCAACCCCCCATAGACAACTATATGAAGGAAAGGAGGGTTAGCTGTGGTGGTGGAAGGAAACTTGACTTGGGGTGGTGAACACACAATATAGTAGTATAGCTGATGTATTATAGAGTTGTACCCCTGAAACCTATATAATTTTATTAACCACTGTCACCCCAATAAATTTAACAAATTATTAAAAATAAAATGAAATGTTTATAGTTCTTTTCCATAAAAAGCTCATATTACTTTGTAAGGTGTGCCGTGCCAGCACAGCCAAGGGTTCGGTAAGCCTGAGGGAGGGCGGTGAAGGATGTAGAAAAAACAGAAAAAGAATAAGCTGGGACTAGGTGGATCTCCTGTGCCTGGCTGAGGTCACAGAGAGAGATACAGATGGTAAGCTGAGCCTTTATTTTATAGTCAGAGGTAAACAAGGTAGTGGTCACCATAGTTACAATGTTCTTATGAGTTTCACTTGTTTTGGCAGCACTTGGCTGCACCTCCCACAGCCGATTAGCTACCCAGGAAAGATCTAGGGAGTGTCTAAGGTCAAGCTTAATTATGCTAAGAGGGCTGAGCCCTCTCAGCTGGGACTTGGTTGTGGCTTTGCCAACAGGCCAGTCTAAGGCTTAACGCTATAGCCTCAGTAAAGCAAACTATTTAGTAACTTCTTTGGGGGAGAACACAATATTAAAGCTATACAATAGGTTTTTCTATTTGACAATTCTTTATTTTAATCATGAAATTACATTTCACAAAGCTTACAAGAAACTTTTCTGCACAGAGTCCATATTGTCCCCTAATCCCTTTTTTCTTTATTCATAGCCTCTGTACTGTTTCTCATTCTCCATGTGATACTCACTTTTTTAGCTCCTTTAGGAAGTTACAGTACAATTTCAAGGCATACCATGTCATATATGGTTCTCATTCACATTGGTACCATCTGGAGGGCTTGCTAAACACCCATATTGCTGGGCCCCTCCTCAGAATTTTCAGATTTCAGCAATTCCAGAGTTGGGCTACGAATTTGCATGCAGTGATTCTGCTCCATTAAGAAATACTGTCATAAAGTTTGAAGAAATGTGGCATTCCTTTCACTGTTTAATAGTTTTCTTCTAAATTTAATCACACTTTGAAGATTAAATCAGCTTCTCTTGATTGTTAGCAGGAAGCTTTAATAGATACTTAGTGCCTCAACAATTTTTCTAGAATCAGCCAATAAACTTTCTAACTTGAAAATTTTATGATTTATTTTTCTTTTGAGTAAGCAATTTAGTGACAAAGTATTAACAATTTTTTTTTTGTATCTCTAATTATATTACCTGCTGTAAGAAAAATATTGCCTGTCAAATACCAGTTTTTGTTTGATTTTTGCATCATAATATTCTTGAAAGAATTTTAAAAGTTGGGATCTGTATTCAGGCATGCTTATAAGTATCACCAAAACAACTAAACTGAATATTGGATATGTAAGTGGATGGGTGTGTTAGGCATCTCTATCCTAGATAATAGCATCTTTATCACAGGTTATTCTTCTGTACCAATTTTGAGATACATCCAAATTTCAAATGTGTTAATATTGGAGAAATTATGTGACTTGGAATAGAGGGCATGCAATATTTGAATTAATTTTATAAGATGTGGAATGTGGATTAAAGAACTAGGAGTCTCTGATGGAAAAAGTTTATATTTATATTTTCCTTTTAGATTGTCCAGTTTATTGTTACATTGGTTCAGAATAACCAGCTTGTGAGTTTAAAACGTAAAAGGTAAGATCTTATGATAAAATATTTTGACCTATACATGGACAACCAAAAATGTTAGCATTTAACCTATGAATGGCCCACATTTTCTGAGTGTACGCCCATTTTCCTGGCTGAACAGTCCTCCCTTGTTAAGTTACACTCAAGTTTCAAGAGTATGTTGTTTCCTCATGCTGTCATCATGCTCATGTTTTTGAAAGATAAGGATTGCCTAAATGATCACTTTACAGGTACATACAGTTAATAAAAATCTGCATTTCATTACGTTAGCAATTTAATGTTATCTTTAGAAATCCTGAGTGAAATTTTTTTTTAAAGGCCATATCTTTAAAAAAGAAAATAAGCCTTTTTACTTGATGATATGTTTAATCTACTCATAAGGTCTTTAAAAGACTATATGTCAGCCATGGATTGTGATTTCTATAATTGTCAGTAACTACCATTGTTACAACTAATATATAAGAACAATAGTAGACAAAGGAATATTTGGAAGAAGAAAAAGAGTATCTTATAAGGCTAAGATTTTAGCAAAGCTTGGTTATGCTCACAGCTTATGCAGTTGCCTTAATTAACCTACTTCCACTAACTAGTTCTTATGTTATTACCTATTTATTTTTTACCATGTAAGCACTGTTCTTAAAACTAGACCACCAACTTGCCCCCATACATTAAAGTAAACTCAAAATGAATAAAGGACTTCAATGTAAAATGGAAAACTAAAAATCTTAGAAGAAGCCATAGGCAGCAAAATAGCAGATACTTGTCTTAGCAATATCTTTACCAATAGAGTTCCTAGGGCAATGGAAACTAAGGAGAAAGTAAACAAATGTGACTTCATCAAAATAAAAAGCTTCAACACAGCAAAAGAAACCATCAACAAAACAACAAGAAAGCCCTCTGCATGGAAGAACATATTTGCCAATGTTATCTCCAATAATGGTTTAATCTTCAACATTTACAGGGAACTCATATATCTTAACAAAAATAACCCAATCAGCCGAGACCGGTTTGGCTCAATGGATAGAGCGTCGGCTTGGGGACTGAAGGGACCCGGGTTCGATTCCGGTCAAGGGCATGTACCTTGGTTGCGGGCATATCCCCAGTAGGGGGTGTGCAAGAGGCAGCTGATCGATGACTCTCTCTCATCGATGTTTCTAGCTCTCTATCTCTCTCCCTTCCTCTCTGTACAAAATCAATAAAATATATTAAAAAAAAAAAAAAAAAAAAAAAAAAAAAAAAAAAAATAACCCAATCAAAAAATGGGCAAAGGATCTAAATAGATACTTTTTAAGAGAACATTCAGAAAGCCAAGAGAGAGAAGACAACATGTTCCAAGTCACTCATTATCCGAGAGATGCAAATCAAAACAACAATGAGGTACCATCTCACACCTGTCAGAATGGCTATCATCAACAAATCAACAAATGACAAGTGCTGGAGAGGATACGGAGAAAAAGGAACCCTCCTGCACTGCTAGTGGGAATGCAGACTGGTGCAGCCAGTGGAAAACAGTATGGCATTTCCTCAAAAAATAAAAAATGGAACATGCCATTTGACCCACTAATCCCACTTCTGGGAATAATATCCCAAGAAAACAGAAACACCAATCAGAAAGGATATATGCACCTCCTGTGTTCATAGCAGCACAATTTACCATAGCTAAGATTTGGAAACAGCCTAAGTGCCCACCAGCTGACGAGTGGATTAGAAAACTGGTACATCTACACAGTGCAGTACTACACTGCAGTAAAAAAGGAATTCTTACCATTTGCAACATCATGGATGGAACTGGAAAGCATTATGCTAAGCAAAATAAGCCAGTCAGTGAAAGATAAATATCACATTATCTCACTCATTTGTGGAATATAAAGAACATTATAAACCGATGAACAACAATAGATACAGAGGCAAAGAAGCATCGAACAGCCTGTCAAACTGCAGCTGCAGTGGGAAGGCAGGGGAAGGTTGTGGGGCAGGGGGGAGGTAAGAGATCAACCAAAGGATTTGTATGCATGCATATAAGAATAATCAATGGCCACAAGACACTGGAGGTAGGGTGGGAGGGAAATGTGCTGCGGAGTAGGGGAGGCCTGGGGAAGGTCAATGGAAAAAAAGGAGATATATGTACTACTATTTGAAATATTTTAAATGATAAAATTAAAAACCAAAGAAAAAACAAAAATTAAAAAAAATTTATATGCTTAAGTGAGCAATGAAATATATCTGCAGAGAGTAGTTGATTACATTTATTATAGCAAAAGTAGTAAAAATGAATGAAGAAATAAGTTTTAGACACACTGATTTCCCCAGTTTCTTTCTAAGATATAATCATTATTAGGAGTTTCTTTTGTATCCTTACTAAAATTTATTTTATCCTTACTATTCATTATTACCATGAGTGTATTTGTAGTAGAAGCAGTTTAAATTCCTTGTATGTTTGCTTCAGTGAATTCATAGGTATCTTTTGATTTTTAGGCCTTTACTTCTGAACACTAATGGAGCCCAAAAGAAGAATCTGTTTCAGCACATAGTTAAAGAACCAGCTGATAATCACCATCATAAAGTAATTTTTTTATTAACTTATATTTATTGTCTCAAGCTAATTTTTATTAATAGTAATATTTCATGCATTCATAGTTTATTGAGTAATAATCTGTGTTCATCCTCTAGCTTTATTAAATCATGACTTTTTTCATTGTTTATATTAGATTATTTTAATAGCTAAACCATTATAATATAGTTGTCTCAGTTGTCTGTTCCTAAGTTTGCTTCTCTCCCCCTGTCCAATCTCCTGTCACCTAGAGATAATCAGTTTTGAATTAGTATTTATTAATACTAATTCAAAACTGTAGTCATTTTATATTTGTGAATCCATGAATAATATTTATTGTTATTTATATACTAGGGCCCAGTGCACGAATTCGTGCACCTTGAAAGGAACTGTGGGCCATGAGACTGTGCTATGCCCAGGGGCAGGTCTCGGCCCATCCTCCACGTCCTCACCCAGACCCTCACGCAGAAGCCCCTGGTCCCATGTCTGCCAGCAGCCCCACTCCCTCCGCCGCCACTCCCACTGTTGCCACTCTCATGCACTGGCCCTGCTTGCACCCGCTGACAGTGTGGAGTGATTGGGGCCAGTGCCGTCAGTGGGTGCAAGCGTTAGCTGCTCAGAATCGGGGGGGAGGTGGAGAAGCCCTCAGCGGCGATCAGAGCCAGCAGCTTCTGCTTGCACCGCTGATGGCGCCAAGTGATCGGGACTGGCACCGGGCACTGGCAGTGGTTGCAAGTGGCAGCTCTTCAAGGTCCTTTTAAAAAAATAGTTAAGTAGAATGCAGAGAATATCTTATACTTCTGCACTACTAATACTAATTAGTGTATAAGTCCAAGAAGAGCAGAGAATATATCTGTTTTGCTCACTGTTGTATTGTCAACATTTAGTAAATAGTAGATTCTCAATTAGCATTTTTAAATAATGTTTTGGAGTTAATATAACTTCATTTTTTAATGTATTTTTTCTCACTGATTGTTTAGGTTCCACACAGTAGGACTGAAGGTTTAAAACCAAGGGAGCGGATTTCAGATGACATCATTATTTATGATGTTACTGATGATAATGCAGATGAAGAAAATATCCCAGTTATTCCAGAAACTAATGAAGATATTATATCTGATCCCTCCAAGTAAGGAGATTGTGAAATAACATTTATGAAAATAGTTACTTTTCTTACCAAAGAGCTAAATCCAAACCACTTTATTCTTTGATGAACTAAAATCTGACTCATGTTTGGGTTATTAAATTGAAAAATTAAACCAAATTATTTAACCAGATATCCCTCCCCACCCCATCCCAAAGGGAAAAAAAAAAACTCAACAAAAAAACTAATAAGAATTCTGATTTTTTAATTTTGTAGCTAAACAGCTTTGATTCTTTGTGATCTTATATTGTATGAACTATCAATATTTGTGATTAAGATACTCCCCCAAGAAATTTAAGCCTTTTGATATGTGGTTTGGGGAGAGAATTTCCAAGGAAAAGGAATGGTTAGAATTAATTTATTGAATTGGTCTGTAATGGGTTCTTTCTCCTTTTGTTGATATAGCTGTAGCCAGTACCCTGATATTGTCATTGTTGAAGATGACAATGAAGATGAATATGCACCAGTCATTCAGAGTGGAGATCAGAATGAGCCAGCCAGAGAATCCCTAAGTTCAGGCAGTGATGGCACTAGTCCTCTCATGTCTAGTGCCATCCAGCTAAATGGCTCTTCCAGTCTGACTGCAGATGATCCTGTTACCATGATGGATTCCATTTTAAATGATAACATCAATCTTTTGGGAAAGTGAGTGTTCACTTAGATGTCTAAATTTATTTTCTTTGCTTGTTTACTTTATATATTCTATTTCTCTTTGAATGATCTTCCTTTCACATTATTAACCCATCTAGTATACGGTACCTTTCTGTGTTTTGTCAGGGGTGAGCTCCACAAATGCTGTTTTGAGAAGGAATTAATAATTCCATGAGCAGTCTTGGTATTTTCTTGGCAGTTCTTCAGATTTTCTTAATGAAATACTTGTTTTGAATGTCCATAAAATATATGTGATTGTATTTGTGTTTATATCAGGGTGATGGAATAACATATCTCTATTAAGGGACTTATTTTTAACCTTAAAAAAAAACACACAGAAATTAGTAGCAAAGAGGTTAAACATTTAATAATTTATAATATAGAGGAAAGAAGAAATCAGACTGTTTTTGCAAAACCTTTTTTTCTGTAAACACTGAAGTTTTATGTAAAAGTGCTGTGAATTCTTGGTTAACCAAATTTTTAGGAATCCCAGATACTGAATAGGACCTCTAAGATAAGAATTGGTAAGGATTCCAAAGTTGCTGGATGTTTTGCCTTGCTAGATTGCAATGTAATTTAAACATAAAAACAGGAAAAGCTAATTGATTTCTTTTTTTAAAATCTTTTTCCTTAGGGTTGAGCTGTTGGATTATCTTGACAGTATTGATTGCAGTTTAGAGGACTTTCAAGCCATGCTGTCTGGAAGACAGTTTAGCATAGACCCAGATCTCCTGGTTGATGTAGGTACTTTGAACAATTTTAGCTGTACTGGTAGTTTGTGTGTCTGTACGTTATTTATAAATCAGTATATCATTTTCTTGTATTCTACACTTGTTTTTGCATTTTTTAAAAATTAATGGTTTTGTTTATTAGAAATATTGAACAGATGGGTTCAAGACAATGAACGAAGGTAATCACTACCCATTTGTAAATAGCAGTGCAGTTAATCCTTCTGTAACAACGTATCAACTCTGTTCAACAGTACTATTAAGTCTTGTCTGGTCTTGTTGCTGTATAATGGTTTTCTTTAGAATAAACTGTCATTGAATAGAAATTGGTGCAAGTTACTAATAGAGATATGTGGCCGGGAAATAGCATGAAGGCACTTACTAACTTTGAGAATGTTTTCTATTCAAATGTATTATACTTGCTATATTTTTATAATGTTTGTGTCCTGTGTCCTAAGGTTCTCCTGCTTCAGTCCCCACTACCACCTCTATGAACTTGACTCCAGTGTTGTCTGGTCTGTGAATACTCATCCTACCATTCCTGGCACTAACCACCTTTCTTGTTCCCATCCCTTGTGTAACTATTACTCCTTCTCCCCTTGCCTAAAGTTTTCTTTGTGACCTGCTCCCATCCAGATGAATCTGGTTCTCTCTCCATTTTATGTTGTGAACATATTTCTGCCTTTTGAAGGTTTTGACATATTTTTTTTCTCCTTAAAATTCTTCTCTCATATCAAGAGTATACAGTCTTGTCCTTTCAAGAGCTCTATGAGGCTAAAAGAAATTAGTTATGTCTTACTCTTCAATCTTAATTGACCACCTTATCTCTCTACTCATCAGTCTGTGTCACAAGACTTTATTACCTTTTCCAAATAATGTGCCTCTCAGGATGGATTTCATCTTCTTTGAAGACTTCTTTTCCATGCCGACCTATGTTACCATCTTAAGTGAATTCAACATCCTTGTTAATGACCTACTTCAACTTGTTAACAGTAACTTGATTGCTCTTCTTTATCCTATCTGTCTTTATACTCACTCTGAATCCAGGTTCCTTTAGAATATCTGTTCCTTAGATCACTAAGAAAAAATAAAATCCTATTACATCTACAAATCCTTGTAATCTTCAACTAGGTTATTTTAATTCAATTTTGAAACATTTTTCATACTCATTTGTCCTCAAGACCTAATCCAGCCAACTATTTCCTATTCACAAAGGATAATTCACCTCTTCCTGGTCCTCTCATAAGATGTGGAATCTCATCTTACAGAAAGTACTTACTCTTTAAAGCCAATTTGTACACTTGTCCCCTGCGTCTTTGTTTTTTCTCCCTATCCTTGATCTTTCCCATCTTTAATGCTTCCCCATCTTAAAAAGCATTTTGATATGTTGCTCTGCTCACTTACCATTCTGCTTTTCTATACTTTCACTCATTTAGAAATGAGTGGCTATGTGTGTTCTTTTTTACTCTGTACTTCATTTGAAACCCTGTATTGTCTTCTTATTTACTCTAAGCTTGTGCTGCCTTGGTTTATCCATAGTAAGTAGACTGTGATTTCCTGCTCTCCTCCTCCTTCCTAATTAAGGTTTCTGGGCTTGTGGAAGAACATTTGTTTTGAATCAGATTTGGGTTCTCCTTTTGGCTCCTGTTACTTATTATACTATCTATGTTATTATTAACCTTGGAAAAATTAAGCTGTCTTTCCAAGTTTCCCTATCTATAAAATGTAGCTAATGCCCAGAAGGGCTGTTAACAAGAATTATAAGTAATTAGCAGCATTATTATTTACACTATTGATTTTCTGAAATACTACTTGTTCTGTTTATTTTAGAAGTCCTGAGACCTTTATTGTCTCCTGTCGCCCTAAAAATTCTCCATTCCTCAAAAACTGTTCTTTTTCCTGTTTTTTCTACTTCTACTTGGGTCTTTCCCAAGGTACTCAGTCTTTTATCCTCTTATTTTATCTTCTTTTTCTAGCCTTCCTCTCTGAAGGGATTTATGCTTGTAGAATTATTCTCAGATATCTATCTCCAGCTCTTAATACTTTTTTTTCCCTAAATATATTTTATTGATCTTTTACAGAGAGAAAGAGAGAGGGATAGAGACTTTAAAGTAAACTTGCTTGAATTCTAAGTCCATGCCTTTAAGAGTCATCAGATCTTGCCTTAGATTCTGTTTAACACCAATTTTTTCTTTATTCTCTAAACTAGATACCCTTTTTAGCTTTTTAGTTTTCTGTAGTGGTATCAGACTTCACTTTATTCACCCAGGATAGTAATCACAGAGGCATCTGGTCTTCCTGATCTTTATCAGAGTATTTTCCAAAATAACATTCTCAAGCATCCCTACTTTTGTTTCTAATATTGGCTCTCTTAACAAGACCTTAATTATCTCATCCTTGAATTATGCTCTATTGTTATAAATAAAGAATCCATGTATAGGTTGCCTTGTTCTCTGAGACGGCAAAAATAATAAGGGCAAAAATATGTTTGCTGAAGAGTTCATGGGTTCTCTCTGTAAAGTTCAGTTATTAGTGATCCCATGTGGAGTCGGCAGAAGAGAATTCAACCATAGAATTCAACCCAACTATGTCAGCTCCTCCTCTGTGATCTTTTTTTTTAGTTCAGGCCATGCATCTGCTGGGAATACATGAAGGCAATCCTGAGTCATTGTATAGGAAGAGTGGGGCAAAGAATGAGTGAGGATCTTTCACTGTTGGGCCTCTTCAGATGCCACTCCCATTAGGGACAAAATCTGGTTAGGCCTCTAAGCTGAACTGCAGAGACTGGCAGTCTCCTATAGCTGTCTACTCTTAAGGAACCGAGTCTCTTCCTCTTTAAAGATCAGTAGGTGATAAAGTTAATGTAAGAAAAGAAGAAGCTGGGATATCTTTAGGTCTCCCATGAATGTAGAACTTTGAGAGGAATCAGTATCTAGACGGGATAGAGGAGGAACCTGCCTGTGGCCTCGGCATTTCATTGTATCCTGTGAACTGTTTGGTGTGTTCTCTGGAAGTGTTGAAATTGCCAAATCTCACTGCTCTGTCCACTTCTTACTGCGGAGAGAATGGTCTTGTTCCCTGACTGGCCTCGCTTTACTTTTGAACCTTATGTACACAACTTACTATTCAACTTAGAATTTGTGTTATCTGAACTGGTCATCTTCTTGGTTGTCGCTAATGTTATAATGTATTCTTCTTTCTTCCTTCCTTTCCAAATCACTAATCATTCCCCAGGGACTGATCCATGGTGCATAGCTTTATCCAGACCTTTTGTTTATTCTATACATATGTGTATGTTTGTGTCTCTGTTTTTCTTCTTTCCTTCTCTTAACTCCTTTGTACTTTTGAGCTCCACCATCCATTATTATTATAATACTAGAGGCCTGATGCACGAAAATTTATGCATAAATGGGCCCTCCTTCCCCTGGCTGCTGGTTCTGCCTTCACTCTGGCCGGAGCCATCTTTCTGCCTTTGCTCTGGGCCAGACTGCCTTTCCACCTTCCCACGCTGCCCAGAGGCCCAGAGCTGCTGGGGTGGTGCTGAACACCTGTGTTGTCGCCATGGCAACGACACAAGTGTCCTGCCCCTGGCTGCTCAGCACCTGTGTATGCAAATCAACCCTCCATCTTTGTTGGGTTAATTTGCATACCCACTCCTGATTGGCTGGTGGGTGTCAACAAAGGTCAATTTGCATTTCTCTTTTATTAGTGTAGATAGATTGTATATGATCATATGTTTTTATTTGCTGTTGTTCTTTTAGATTGTAAGCTCCTGAAGAGCAGGAATAGTGTATTCATTTTATATTCTTTATGATGTTATTATATGGTCAATAAATCCCTATGAAATTAATGACTTTGACACGGTATAAACAAAAGTTATGTCTGTAAACTGGCTGGCCTGAGGAGTACAGTAAGCAGTGATTTTAGCATTTATAGCTTCCCTTGCTAGACGAATTAAAAAGAACCAGCAGAGATATACTATTTGTAATCTAGAAGCCACTATCATAGAACAGATTCTATAAATTTATCACATGATTAGCAAATAGTCAGTGAAGACAGTGTCAGGGACGTGAACTCAGTACTGGTTGGCACTTACGGCTTGAGGTATTTAGGGAGAAGAAAAATTAAGGAAATGAAGGAGAATGGAGTTTTGGAAAAATCACCATTTGTCTCAAGTTTTTACTTTATAGTTTATAGAGAAACTAGAGGCCCAGTGCACTGGAGGGGGGTGGTTTCTCAGCCCGGCCTGCGCCCTGTCCCAGTCCAGGAGCCCTCTGGAGAATATCCTTAGTGCTGCTGCTTCTGGCTAAGCGGCGCTCCCCCTGTGGGAGCACACTGACCACCAGGGGGCAGCTCCTGCATTGAATTCATGCCCCCTGGTGGTCAGTGCACATCATTATGACCAATTGTTCCGCCATTTGGTCGATTTGCATATTAGCCTTTTATTATATATGATAGGATTTGTTACAATGTCTAATTCATGGGCTAGCTTGCTCTGTTTTTCTTTCTGCTTTTCTCTTCGCAACTTGTTTTACTCCATGGAAGCTTCCTAGTGCAGGAACTACATCTCTTCACCCAACATGGCTGTATAAAAATTTTGAATACAGTTAGCTTTTTAATATTTTTTAAACTTATCATCTTTCTTGTTTGGTCTTTCAGCTTTTCACTAGTTCTGTGCAGATGAATCCCACAGATTACATCAATAATACAAAAGTAAGTTTTAATTCATGTTGCTCAGGACCCATAGCTATAAGAATTTTTAAGAGGTCTTAGTAAGCATAGAGCAATACCTCTCCCAGTTACAAAGCATTTTATATTACCTAATATGTGTGATCAAGATAGTAAAATTCCAGGTGAAAAATTAGCTTTGGATTATAGGGTGAATCATTACTCAGTTTTACTGGTACTTAACTATCAGTGCCATTAACTATTAGTATGAAATCAGTCCTCAAAGTGCTGGGAGATCACTTGATTAAACTATTGGACACTATCTAGAACTCAAATTTAATTTTTCTATATATTTTGGAGCAATATGTATTTTGCTGTTTAACTGGATTTAAGGTATTGGTTTTCGGAATAGGGAGGAGATCCAAGAATAAAGAATGACATAGTGTATACAAAAAACAAACACTATATCACATCACTAAATAAATGCAAGACATGAGTTCATTCAACTTAAGTCTAACATTTAATAATATCATATTTACTGAAACATAGTGCTGAAATGGTCCATAGAATCTTATAACATAAATCTAGGCAAACTATGATCCACATGACAAATTTAGGCATGCTGCCTGCTTTTGTAAATAAATTTTATTGGAACATAACCATAGTTGTTCTTTCATGTACTGTCTATGACTTATTTTGCATGAAAATTACAGAACTGAGTAGTTAAGACAGAGAACACATTTATATGTGTGTGTGTATGTAGTATACACACACACTTAAATTTACTAACTGGCCTTTATAGAAAAAGTCTGCCAATCCCTAACATAAATCATCCAAAGTGATTCAAAGTTCACAACTTTAAATTACCCAGGATTAGAAACTACCAAGAACAATATCACATCAACTGCTATTCCCTTGCTCATGACAGATACTATGTGACATGGATTTATAATACTCTTTACTACTAAATTAGCATACTACTCAATACAGGAATCTAAGTGGCCCCTACTAATGAATAAGAGTCTGCATGGGAGCTGACCATGGGAGCTGAACCATTTGTCATCCTGGTTCTCATATGTTTTATTGGTATCCTTGGGAAATACCTATTTTAAGAAGTATAAAAATAATGGTATTAGTGCTTTAATATTTATTGTAAATGCTAACTAAGAAATATTTTAATGTAAATTTTTGGAAAGGTATAAGTTGTTATATCATGGTGTTTTTATTGTTTCGGAATCCTAGAACTCATACTGCTTTATTTTACTATGAATATCAGGGAATTACTGGAATTAGTGTGTTTATTATACCATATGTACCTAACCAGCAACAGCTATCTGGGATTTACAGCTGTTTAGAAGTTGTGAACCTCTACACCTCACTTTGAATATCTTTGAAAAGAGCACTGAAGAATTTAACAGCATTAGTGATTTAATTCCCTTACAATCATATGTAAGGAGAGAAGACATCACTGGTTGAAAGAAGCAATTTAAATGACAGAAAAGAACTGAGAAAAGAATTAAAAGAGCCACATAAAGGAAATGAAGAACCATCTCAACTGTGAGACTTCCAAATACAGGGATAAATAGTTTTAGGATGTTATGTTATCCTCAACTTTTTAAATGTGTTCAGTTACTCTGTGAATGAAATGTGTAATACATTTTTAATGAAAATTTTTAAATTGGTTTGTTTAAAGGGTGATCTCTTTATTAGAAGTTTGAAACCAGCCATCTTTGACTTATTCCCATCTTTTGGCCTTGACAAATTCTGTGTATTCTGCTGTTGAAATGCTCCCTCCTTTTCATACGATTGTCATCCTAGTTCAGGATCTTTGTTTCATCCACTTGATGACAGCAATAACTTTTTAAATCAGTCTTGTTACCTCTACTCAAATCTCTCTCTAGTACATATTTCTTGCTCCCTCTTCTCTATATGTCAGATAATATACCAATATTCACTTTTTTTTTTTTTTTTGCTCTTTTCAGAAACACACAAAATATGAAAAAAAAATTTGTTATTTTTTTTCTCTTTTAGTCGGAGAATAAAGGATTAGAAACTACCAAGGGCAATGTAGTTCAGCCAGTTTCAGACGAGGGAAGAAAATCTAAACCCAAAACAGGTAGGTATAAATGTAGTACTAATTTCTATAGAATTTCTAAAGTAAATGTCCTGTATAGAAGCTAATGCATGCCAATGAACTTCTTGCCATACTTAACAATTGAACAAGATATATTGATCTCAGTTCTCTGCATAATGGTTCCAGAATATAGAGAAAATTGAATTGGTGAGGTTATAGTTCTTAAAATTTAAGTTGTGTGGGATTTCTATTTAACTTTGGAAAGAACCTTCATTTCTTAATCCTACTTAATAAAAGAGTAATATGCAAATTAATCATCACTCCACTATACCCACAAAACATGCCCACCAGCCACACCACCAGCCAATCAGAGCGAGTATGTATATTAACCACAACCAAGATGGCTGTGACCACAGAGAGCAGGAGAGGGGCTTGGGTTTCCCATGCAATAGAGGAAGCCAAGCTTCTGCAGCCTAGCCTAAGCCTCCACTCAAAGCTACAAAGTTTTAATTATAGAAGGTAAACAAATTCAAACAAATGGCGGCAACCATGGAGCAAGCAGGGGGCGTGGCTCTGCTCCAGGTTGCAAAGTTTCAATTGTAGAAAGTAAATAAATTCCAGATACCAGGGACTCGACTTGGGTAGCCAGGGGGTGTGGCTGGCCTGCAAACCATCACAGGCCCCTCACCCAGGCCATCCTACACCCCAAGGGAACTCCCATCCTGATCTGGGACATCCTTCAGGGCAAACCAGCTGGCCCACCTGTGCACCAGGTCTCTATCCTGTCTAATAAGAGTAATAGGCAGATTGACCATCACTCCAACACACAAGCTGGCTGCCCCCATGTGGACACAAGATGGCCAGCAGGGGAGGGCAATTGGGGAGGGACAAGGTCTTCAAGGGAGGGCAGTTTGAGGTGATCAACCCTGCAGGGAAGGGCAGTCAGGGGTGACCAGGCTGGCAGAGGAGGGAAGTTGGGGCCAAACAGGCTGGCAGGGGAGCAGTTAGACATCAGTCAGGCTGGCATGAGAGTGGTTAGGGGATGATCAGGCTGGCAGGCAGAAGTGGCTAGGGGCAATCAGGAAGGCAGGCAGGTGAGCAGTTGGGAGCCAGCAGTCCTGGATTGTGAGAGGGATGAACATCCCTCAAGGGGTCCCAGATTGGAATGGGTGCAGGTGGGACTGAGGGACACCTCCCTACCCCCACCCCATGCACGAATTTCATGCACCGCCCTCTAGTTGTTGAATAAAAGACTATTTTGACTTGAACATTTTTTAATTTGCTGACAAATACCTTATTTCGTTGGCTTAGTGATTACACATAAGTAGATCTCTGCTTTTGTATTTTCCACTTACATTGTGAACTCTGTATAAGCTGGTGATAAAAGTGCTTTTTTTCTAATCTTTGTTATAGATAAACAGCTTATCCAGTACACTGCCTTTCCACTTCTTGCATTCCTTGATGGGAACCCTGCTTCTGCTGTTGAACAGGGGAGCACAGCATCCTCAGAAGTTCTGTCCTCTGTAGATAAGCCCATAGAAGTTGATGAGCTTCTGAATAGCAGCCTGGACCCAGAACCGACCCAAAGTAAGCTTGTTCGCCTGGAGCCGTTGACTGAAGCCGAAGCTAGTGAAGCCACACTGTTCTATTTATGTGAACTGGCTCCTGCGCCTCTGGATAGTGAAATGCCACTTTTAGATAGCTAAATTCCCAAGAAGTGGACTCTACATGTATATATTCATCAAAATGATGAACTATTTATTTTAAAGTATTATTTGGTACCCTTTTTTTTGTAAATTTCTTTTTGTTTTAATTGGATACTGTGGAATCAAAAGCACCTTTTGCTTTTCTCACTAACCGCACAGCCTTGCAAAGCTTTCAGATATTACTCAGCTCTATAGGTACACAAGATTTAATGCACATTACTGCATATCTTTAAGTTGGATTCAGATGGGCATTTTTTTCAGATGGTAGTAAATTTGAATTATTTTTTATATATATATGCCCATTAACCCAGGTTAAACTTTTGTTTGTTTTACTTGTTTGATGCTGTCCGTTGGCATTGATTGTAAGTCACTAATATTAACGGTAGAACTAAAGCTTTCTCTGTTCCAATTACTTTTACTAAGTATTTTTCACTTGGCTTATTTTTAAAACTGGGAACATAAAGTGCCTGTATCTTGTAAAACTTCATTTGTCTCTCTTGGTTCAGAGAAGTTCATGTTCATCAGGAAAGGCAAAGTGTACATGAGTGCTTGTGTCTGATATGGTTCCAGTTCTGTATGCTTAGAAGGGGATGGGATGGTGTCAGCCCAATCCACCTAGTTGGACTAGTTTTAAGTAAAAGTTTTTGGTTTGTTTTTTTGAACCATAATATTTAGTAAAATAAATATAATGAATGTTGCATACTGGTGTTTATGTGTCTTCTTTGGAGGTGACATCCACATGAACCATTTTTTCCCCTTTTCATGTGAAGTAGACTTAAACTGTAAACTGTTATCCTTAATATGAGTTACATCATGATCTTTGTGCCTCTTCTCAGGAGATAGACTGTATTACAATAAGGGAGGAATATAAAGTCTCTAAACTTAATGTTTTATAGTACTTTAAGAATTATAGTGGCTTGCTTTCTGTTTCTAATAAAGAACTGAGAGAATTATGCCTCTCATTGTTCCAAATGAGTAAAGAACACATCACTGGATGCCTCTAAGGGTCTATAATTTTTGTTCTGAGAGAAAGTCAGGTCACTTAGTCTCTTTGGAACAGGTGCTCAGAGGATTATAGACACTTAATGCAAGGTAAGGCCATCTTGAAGATCAGGCAGGGGGCTGGAAGCAGTGTGGTGCCTAAATATTTTATGGGTCTATTTAATGAGGTATTACATGGGTGGCTTCCCTATTGGTCATATTGAGTTTCTTGATATCTTGGAATTTCTCTTACTATGATGCAAAAATGCAAAGTAAAACCTAGCACAGAGGAGTAGAAAACCCTTTCTTAGCAGATTATAAAATATTTGGCTCAGAAAATGGGATCTCGGTGAACTAATTAGACCTCAGAACAGTTTTCTGCAGAAGCTTTCTAGATGTTTTCAGGTGAAAAGAGTTGAGAAACTTAGAGGAAAGAGAACTTTAGAGACCTTTTCTTTTTCTCTTCCCTTCCTCACTGGGATATGATCAAGTTTCTTCTCCTTGGGGACATTTTGGAGCTGTGGAAATATTCTAAAATGATTTTGGAAAACTTTATATCTCTTAGTAATTTTAAGTTGACATTTTAAGATTCAGAATAGATAAAAGGTGTTATGTTTTGTCTAATGTGGAAAGAATAATTGTTAAGGGGGATAAAGCCTTGTCGTGAGGTATCTTTTCAGGCAGATCAAGTTTAGGAAAGTACGCGTGGAAATTGGAGATCTGGAAACTGACTCCTTTAAAAATAATTTTGTTTGTGTTTACTAGAGGAAGTCTCTGTATATTACTTGGAAAACAAATTACCACCATATGCAGTTAATTTAGAGAATAACTCCCATCTCCATCCCCCTCCAACTTTCTTTTACCTCGATAAAATAAATAGGAGGTAGCCTGTAACTAACAAGAGCTAACGTGTTTTTTCAAGGCGTGTCCCTACAGCTGGTCCTCCAATATTTCATTCATTGTTGTTTCGTTATAACGTTGATGAGGAAATTAATTCCTAGCTGGGACCACTGTGAAGTTTGCTTTTTCTCTCCATGTCTGCATGGATTTTCTCTAGGACTCGTTTCCTCCTTCATCCCAAAGATGTGCACGTGAGGTTAATCACGGTCAATAAATTGTCTTAGTAGAGTGGGTGTGGGAGTGGGTGTACCCCGTGATGGAAGTTTTCTGTCCAACTTTGGTTCCCACTTGAGCCCTGAGCTGCTGTGATGGGCTCTGGCCACCTGCACATTAACTGGAATAAGCAGACTAGAAAATAATTATCTTCCTCAGATTCATGTATACAACACATTTCCATGTGTAATACTACAAGTATTTTTGGGTCTTTATTGAGAAGTTTGGTGATTTTTTTGTGACCAGATATATTCCAGATTAACTTCCCAATTATTTATATCAACTAGCCTATGATAAAGTTGGTTTTGCTGTATGACATTTTGATGAACATGCACAGAATCCCTACATTTAAGAATTAGCACCTAGACTTCCTAGATTTTTGTTTTCAAACTTTTTTTTTTTTTTGAGAACTGGTTGCACATTGGGCAATAGAGCTAATCAACCTATTTCAAGAAATTGGTATCAGACTACAATACAATAGACTTCGACAGTTTTGAGGAACAGTGCCTAGTATTTTGTAGTGTCCCCCAATTTGGGGTTACTTGATTTTTTTTTTTTTTTCTTGGTTAGACTGGGGTTGTAGGTTTTAGGAAAGATTATAGAGGTGAAATGCCATTTTCAACGTATGTCGATACATGCTGTCAATGTTAACTTTTCACCGTTAACCTTCACTTAGATTGGAATATCAAAGGGAACATTTCTGAGCAGAAAGATTCAATATCTTCCATGCCATCTCAAAAACAACCTGAGTGGCCCATGGCGCCACTGCCTTACACACATCAGTTTGTGTTTTTGTCTGCCAGCTACAGATTTTGAACTCATCAGCTTTGCAATTAGTGAGCCACTTCCATTGGTTCTAATAACTAAAAAATTAATAGAAGCTCTCTTTATGCTATATATATCTTAGAAAATCATGAGTGAAGGAGTAGAACTTCTTTTGCCCAGTAAATAAGGATGCTTTTAGAGATGTCACTGGGCAGTACTAAAAGGTATAAGTAACACTAGCCAATACAAGTCGACCATAGGAAGCAAGACAAGGAAAATGAAATCCAATAAAAATGAAACACTTTTGATCTGCAGAGACCCTGTTAGGATGGAAAGACAAAGCTACAGACTGGGAGAAAACATTTGCAAATTGCATATCTGATAAAGAACAATCTAATAAAATATATAAAAAACTCAAATTTAAAAAAAAAATCCAATTAGAAAAAGGCCAAAAAGACATGAATTGACGTTTCCCGAAGACACATGGTTGGCATATATGCATGTGGAAAGATACTGTCCATTAGCCATTTGGGAAAGGCACATTAAACCACAATGAGATACCACATTTCTCTCAGGACAGCTAAAATAAGTGATATCAAATGCAAAAATTAAAGGAAACCAAACTCTCATATCAAAGATTTGACTATGAAATGCTATCACTCTGGAAAAGTTTGGCAATTTCTTATAAAACTAAACACTTAACTCATCCACAAGGATTCTTCACCTGACTCTGGCGAACTAGTAACCTGTTCTCAATTTCTCTAATTTTATTGCAAGCATGCTATATAAGTGCAATAACATATGTAACCATTTGGGATTAGTTTTTATAACCCACCATATTGCCCTGGAGATCCATTCAGGTTGTACCAATAGTTCTTTTTATAGTTAAAATAGTATTCCATGACACAGATGTACCATTGTGTTTGTTTAAAACTTCATCTGTTGGGAAGTTACCAATAAAGCTCCTATGAACATTTATGTAAATTTTTGTGTGAATGTTCTTCTGGGTAAACACCCAGAGTTTTTTGGACGTCGTTTTGTGAATAATACTGGAGAAACTCAGACCATTTCAAATGAGTTATTAATGTAATAAAACTTCTAAGTCATATGGAATAGAGCATTTATTTTTTAGTAAGGAATTAAAAAAAAATACTATCCTAAGAAGAGAATGGCAACTTAGGGGGGGGCAAAAAAATGCCTGGAAGATACAATAAGAAGAGAATTATCTATCAAGTGAATTAAAAATATTCTCCAAACTAAGCTGGTCCACCTAAAAGTTCTTCAGGAGAAGCCAACTTGAATCACCATTGAGATCTAATGTTAGGGGTTACTTTCAGGGGACAAAAAAGAGTAAATATCACCTTTAAAAGAATTTTTCAGGAGAAAATGGTCAGTTAACCCTCTAGTGCCAGATTCTTTTGTACACAGGAGGAACACAGGTCTGAGTATTAAAGTCACCTAAATTTGAGCTGATAAAGAATTAATACACTGCACACTTCCTCTTAATTCTTTTATTTAGAGAGGATACACTCATTTAAATCATGGAACACAATATCAATACAGAATAAAGGGGAATTAAGTTGAATTGTTATATTTTGTTTAAATAAATATATTAAAAGAAGTAAAGGTAGATTAATATACTCACTAATGACACAAGTAACTAAGTTTCTAATTGGCTGCTATACTGCTTGATTTTTAAGATTATAATAACCTATATATATTAATTAGGTGGCAGTAGATACAAAGCATTTTAAACACTTTTTGAATTGTATAGTATTCTATAAGCAGTTTGTTGTACAACATTCCATCATTCTCGTGACCTCAACTTAAAAGTAGAAGGCAAGCTGGACACCAGCAATCCACATTACATAAATTACCCACCAGTACTCAGGTGTAAAATCTATTATGTGGCGTTTTTTCTTTTTAATAGAAATGAGTTTTGAATGTCAGCTATTTTTGGCTCAGGACTTCTCAGCTTTGCCACTAATTATCTAAGTCTGTTCCTCAGTTGCTTCATTTTTATAACAGGAGGATTGGACTAGATTTTGTCCAAGTACCTACTGAGGCCTAGTATTTGCAGTTTCTTGCTGTCCTGTCAAAAGTTTAACTCCTTTGATTTTCAAAATGAACTTTCAAGGTGATTTTCACCAACTTCCTTTTAATTCATGATTATCCTTTTCAAGACCTTTGTCTAAATCCTTCAGAGTTCCCAGCATCTCCATTAATCCCTTACTTCCACATGTGTTTACAATGACCAAAACAAAGTTCACTATGTTGGTGTGGAAGGCATTCTCTACCCAAGGAAGATTATAACCTAAGTGAATATTTAATTTAGTACTCATCACCAATCTGAGTTTCTTTTTCTGTCTCAATCTTCACCATAACCTACACTATTGTTCCTCAAACACTCCCCACCTTTATAAGTTCCCTATATTTATATAATGGAAAAACCTGAAAAGACTTTTCAGACAACTGTCATTTAAGTGACTTGTTTACATAATTCTTAAATAGCCCATGTTCTTTGAAATCTCCTGTAAGGCAAGGCATCAAGTATTTCAAAAGGCAGCCACTTCCTTTTATACTTTCTAAGACAGTTTAAGTTCTAACAACTTAAAAATCAACTTGTCAATTTTTCTTTTTACTATTATTTTCACAGGTACAGAACAAAATGAACCTAAATGTCCATTTTTCTTAACTTTCCACCATACTCATAAAACCTTTGATTCATTCTAACACACCTATCAATGCACTTGGCAAGAATGAATAAAATGGCAAGCAGCAAAATCTCATGCCAGAACACTGGAGAAATTTTATGGGAAGCACACACATACACAACTTTACAAAAGTTGGAAATACTATTAATTTCCAATAAGCAATGATCAAACTGGGACTTTCATGCCAGAAGTCCTGTTTAGTCAAAATCACGATTTGTAAGAACAAGAGGTGCCACCAGTGTCCAAACATAGAGTACGAGGCCAATCCAACTCGAAGAGATTTTCACCCAGACAGCTGTCCACTGACTCTTCATCTCATGAGAAGGCTCATACCTGAAATTCAAAGAAAACAGAAGAGGCGTTGAATGAGCCATCAAGCTACTTCATTACTTCTGAAGTATTCTTTGTATGCAGTTTGTGATAACAGATACTATAGGTCCTGCCTAATCTGTTGCCTTGTTTTTCGTACTAACTTTAATAATGTAAAGCTAAAAAGCAGTAATTTTCTTTAAAGGAGTAAGAGACAGGCATCTAAAGTAGTTTTTTTACTTAACACGCTGAGGCTTTTTGTAGATTTCTAGCTTAGTGGTTACGACAGCAGAGAAATGGAGTGTAACTTCTAGATAAGTAAGATGTTATAACACAGAAGACAAAGAATATAATCTGTTCAAAATACATACAGGGAACTCACTTCTCTCCCTCATTCCCCTCTCAGATTTAAGACTGAGAAGGGTATACATCATCCCAAACTTAGCTGATTTTTCTGTTAATGAAACATAGCAAGTATACTTTTGATCGAAAGTCTTTAACATTTACTTTTATTACCTGTGAGCCAAAGCTGTGAATTACTGAGAACTATGTGGATTCTTACAACTTAATATGTTGGTTCTGTAGAAACTTTTTTAAATGTTCAATTTTCAATAGTAGGTGTCAGTAAAGGCTGCTCTCAAAGAAATGAAGCAGATTAATTTTTTGCTGGTACTTAAAGTCTTATTACAAGTTAAAGGTACTATGCATTAAAAAACAGAACTGCCCAAAACATATAGTTCACCTTCTATCAAATCTTTCAGTAATCATTTGGACAAAAATTTGAATTTTCAAAAATAAAATAATATAAATTGCTACCTTCCTCTCATCAGAAAGATTTATGGATTAGTTTTGAAGTAATAAAAAAAAAAAGCATAAATCGTTTTGAAGAGGCTCTATGAACCTATCTAAACTAATGAATTCACACTTCAATTTTAAAGCCTTAAGGAAAAGGTTTGAACAAACCAGGAGACATATCTTTTACTGTATTTTGTTGGGAATTTAAAAAGTAACAAGCTATTGGATAAACTACCAACATGTATTTCTATAGGAAGTGCTACTTTCATGAAGATACATTTTAATCTCTGTAAGATGTAGAAATATTTCAATGTTTGTTATCACAAAAGCACTGAAGGAAAGTGCATTTCGCACACTAATATCTCAATATTCATTTCGCTGTAGTTTTGAAATACACTGAAGGATGATAAGTACTTCACACCATATTTTGCAATGGCATTAAGAAAAAGCTAACAGAATTTCCATACGCAGAGTTTCACAAAAGATAAGCACCTGTACCAGTTGGTAAGGGTCATCATGATGTAAAGGGAAGCCAGGAAAAGCATGAAGTGGAAGAAGGAGTAACTGTAAGTGACCCCATCCCTTTCGTTATCTACAGCGCGGTGAACGTCATCTCCATCCTCCAGTGATCCGTCATTTCTGGGTCCACCATCTTCTATTAGTGTGGATTCATCACTTGTTAAAGTCAGTTTATTCACCTGACTGTTGTTCGAAGTGCGGATGCTGAAAGGAAAGACATTTTAGGAAGAGAGAAGAAAAATGGCATTAAAACTGATTTATAAATGAATAGACTTCTTGTCTAAAAAAATTCCATAATTTTTCTTACCTTGAGTAAAACACACACAATAAAAAGAGGATTAGTCCTATAATTCCTTGAGCATGCCACCACTGGACAGACTCTCCCTCCTTTGGGACAATTCTTGTTGTATTGTACCCAATTATGCTGAGTAGACTTGGGTTGCAATTGGTTTCTGCAATGTAAATTAAGATTATAACCTAAATGAGTATTCCACATATGAGTGAAATCATGCATTTGTCTACATCTTTAAATAGTTTAATTTCACAAAATGACCATCTCTGGAAAAAATAAAAGTTGCAGGATTGATTACAAAAAATAAACCCTTAGTACCCACCACCAATATGAATTGTTAGAATAGTTAAAACATTATTTTTCAAGGTATAATTGTAGTTTTTAATTCTTTATATCTTACATATTCAAAAAGGTTTTCTGAAAAAGGCACAAGTATAACAAAATATTTTAAGACAAATTGTTTTTATATTAATAATGAAACCTCCCAAGTTTCATATTGTTAATTTTATAGCAGTGCTTGGAAAAGTTAATTTCATTTTCAACCTCAGGCAGAGCTGAGAAATATTAGTAAGCTCTCAAAGTATAAATGAATCTCTAGCTGACTTAGGAATTCAGGTGTTCTACACCAAAATTCACTGGCTTTTTACTCTGTATTGTGATAAATCAATAGTGACTAAGAATTTTATCAATCTGTCAAAAGTACATTGTTACAAAAGAAATAGCTTACACATAATATCAAATATTAGAATGCTAGCAGATGTTTTGTGCTAATACATTAAGCCATAATGACCTGATGCTTATTCAGTTTCTTAACTGTTCTAAGATAAAATTAAAGTAGGGTTAGGAAAGTATTCAGTAGTTTCCAAAAAGTTTGTGGGGTTTTTGTTTGTTTTTTTCAGAAAACTAATTTTTCAACCATTTTTTCACCTCAAATGACATATATTGGCTTCTATCCCCATGAAATGCAATGTAACTGACCTATAAAGAGATTCATTACAAAGCTCAATTATATTCACTAACAAGGTAGTAATAAAAAAAAAAAACCTTCAGTGAAAAAAACTACTGTCTACAACTGAATTAATATTTTATTTCTTCAACTGAATCCTTATTTTATTTCTTCCTATTTATCATATGAACTGTGCAAATTAGGTATATTTCTTGTCATGTTCATGTAATTTCTTATAATTCTGTTAGTGAAAAGAACTAAGAAGTATACAGTAATACATTAAACATGGAAATTGAATTATTTCCATACTCTATTCCTCTAGGAATACAACTGTCTTCTCTACCCACCATAACAGTTGATCCCCTTTACCCAATTTACCCTCACTCTGGCACGCATTGCCTCTGGTCACCACCAACCTATTTTCTGTGAATTTGTTGTTTTGACATTCCACATATGAGTGAAATCATGCATTTGTCTTCATCTTTAAATAGTTTAATTTCACAAAATGACCATCTCTGGGAAAAATAAAAGTTGCAGGATTACAAAAAAAAAACCCAAGCAAACAAAACATACCTGGTTCATTGGTCATAGCAGACCATGTCAAATACATTGTGTAGACTGTAATCACTGAAGACTGTAATAAACCAGATCTTGGTTGTGATTCCTACAAGAAATAAACAATGTAGATAAATATTCTAACATCATCTAAAATTTAGAAAAACTTGGAAAAGTAGAAGTTTCATACAAACTATTATATAAAAAGCATACTTGGATTTTTGGCAGTATAGACATTATAGAAGCACCAAGGCAGAGGAGCATGTTGACACTGATGAATGCCTTGTTTTCTGAACAACTGGCTGGATGAGTATAGTAAACAAAGAACAGGATGATAGCAACTAAAGACAGCAGATAATTCAGAGCTGTAGCTGATAACAAAGCTGTGGAAGAAATATAATTGGACAATTAGATTTTATCATAAATGCTAGAAACTGCCTAATCTTGTTTTACTTCTACTTAAGCAACTAACATTGTGAGCAATATGCAGGCTATAAAAGGAGGAAATATTCTGAACTTTATTACAGAATAATTTTATACTCTTTACATATAGCTCACTGCTATTCTGTTTTCAAGTTAGTAACATACTAATATGATTGGTAACTGGCTGGCTGGTGTGGTTCAGTGGCTGAGCATCAACCTATGTACCAGGAGGTCATGGTTCCATTCCAGGTCAGGGCACATGCCCAGGTTGCAGGCTAGATTCCTAGTGTGGGGTTGTACAGGAGGCAGCTGATCAATGATTCTCTCTCATCATTGATGTTTCTCTCTCTCCCTCTCTGAAATCAATATATAATATACATGTATATTTTTATGTATATATATGTGTGTGTATATGTGTGTGTGTGTGTGTACACACACACGCATATATATATTTAACTGTCTGTTCCACTGTGGCAGTGTACTTGCTGTAGACCGGCGGGGTCAGACCAAAGAAAAAGTGGTAACTGTATCAATAGACCTTATAAAAATCACATATGCTAAAAATTATTTTCAAAATACAGGGGGGAAAAAACAACTAGAAGGGGAATATTACTTTTTTTTTTTTTTTTAATATATTTTTATTGATTTTTCACAGAGAGGAGAGAGAGGGATAGAGAGCTAGAAACGTCGATGAGAGACAATCATCGACCAGCTGCCTCTTGCACACCCCCTACTGGGGATGTGCCCGCAACCAAGGTACATGCCCTTGACCGGAATCGAACCCGGGACCTTTCAGTCCGCAGACCGACGCTCTACCACTGAGCCAAACCGGTGCCGGCTTTTTTTTTTTTTTTTTTTTTTTTTTTGGGGAATATTACTTAAGGTTTTTTTTTCATCTTTATTTTTCCCCATCACCACTTATCCCCCCTCCGTAGCCTCTTCCACTCTACCCTCTATAATCTCCACACTGTGGCTGTGTCCATGAGTTCTTTCTCTCTTTTTAAATTTTTTTGCTTAATCCCTCTTCCGCTAACACCCTTCACACACTCATCAGAGCTGTATGCTTGCTGTTTTGCTTGGTAGTCCGGTTTGTTCATTATATTCCACATATGAGTGAAGTCATACTATAGTATTTGTCTTTCTCTGATTGGCTTATTTCACTTAGCATAATGGTCTCCAGGTCCATCTATGCTGTCGCAAAAGTAAAATTTTCTTCCTTTGTACAGCTTAGTAATATTCCATTTATAAACTTGGGCTGTTTCCAAATCTTAGCTATTGTAAGTAACACTGCAATGAACATAGGTGTATATATTTTGAATTAGTGTTTTGGGCTTCTTCAGGCAAATTCCCAGCAATGGAAATGCTTGGTCATAAGGCAGTTCCATTTTCACTTTTTTGAGGTAACTCTATACTGCTCCCATCTTCAAAATTAAGCTATCTTGAAGATATTCTGTACAACAAAAACTTACCTGCATACCAACATCTTGAGTTTCCTTCTTCCATTTTTTCAACCCATGATTCATTCCATGAATGGGCAAAATCAATCAGTAAGACAAGCTGTATGAGGATGAAACAAAAGGCGCCTGCCATGCCAACATAAAACCACACTGAAAGAGAAAAAACAACAACAATATACAAATAAGTGACCGGTTCAGTTTTATTATTTGTCACTATCGTAATACACAAAAGGGAAAATACAATTTTACATAAATGCTTTGATTTTGCCAACTGGGAGAAAAGGTAAACAAAACAAACAAACAGTTAATAGTACCAGGCATTTCTTTAAAAAATATCAATATCACACAATTTTAAAAATATGTAAGTCTTACCAGTTGTAAAAGTTCCTTCTGGAATGAAGAAAGCCCCGATAATAATTGCTATTGCTGCAGAAAATTTAAAGAACCAGAATCTAAAAGAATAGGAAATACGATTTTTTATTAATAAATAAGTCATTCAATAAATGTCATATATAAAATCTTTTAAAAGCACCTTGAATAGTTTTAATCATGTTACTGTTCTATTTTTTTCTGATGATTCCCAGAGAATGATACACTGTTTTAGGACAATTTTAAGGAAAATATTTTTATATTTAATTGGTTACAATAAATGAGACTCAGTTCCATTTCACATGTTAATTTTATATAATAAGTGCAATAATATGTGAAAATATAATGTACATTGTACAACTAGGTAAGTCTGTATTCATTAGTTGCTTCTCATTTGTGCTCTGACCCAAGATAAAACCTGCAACCTGGTGTATCAGGACAAGCTCTGATCCAACTGGGCTACCTGGCCAGAGCCTTTGATGTTGTTCTAACTCACAGTACGAAAGTAATAGGCACTGTTATCAGTACAAAAACACATAGTCTGAAGCTCATTTTTTAAAACCAGAACAGCCAAGTGAAAAGTCAGTACAGATTCTTATTTTCACTTAGGCCAATGTACTAAATCAAAGCAGATGACCGGGAACTGTTTGCTATTTCAACTCATGCTGAGCTAGATCAGTGGAACACTGTCTTAGTAGAAAGGTTTTAAGAAGAAAGAATTGCAGTCTCCTTACCCTAACAGAATACCTAACAAAGAACTGATTTATACAGAAAGGGTTTTAAGCAAATCTGTACACACACTTAACATGTTTTAAGAAAAAAAAAAAAACCTGTTATTCTACTTACAGCACAAGCACACATTCACCAGTGCCCAGTAAAATAAACATGAGTGCCACGATAAAAAAACAACAACAAAAAAAACCAAAAAAACATTTTTGCTTTAAAAAGCACACAGCACAGCCAGGCCTACATGGCTCAGTGATTGAGCATCGACCTATGAACCAGGAGGTCACAGTTCAATTCCTGCTCAGGGCACATGCCTGTGTCATAGAATCAATCTCGTGTGGGATGCACAAGAGGCAGCCGATCAATGATTCTCATCACTCTCTCCCTCTCCCCTTCGGAAATCAAATAATACACACACACACACACACACACACACACACACACACTTTAAAAAGCACACAGCACGTAACACTTCATCTTTAGGGGAGTAATCATGGAAGTTCCAAGATTGTATCTACTAGGATAGTCTGAGTATCTATAATAATAAAAGCGTAATATGCTAATTAGACCAGATTTCCTTCAGGATGAAGCTGGGGCTGTGAGAGAAGCCCAGGTCCCCGGTGTCTGGCGGCGGTCAGAGGGAAACCAGTGGTGTGGCGGCCAGGGGAAGGAATGCCTACTCTTGCACGAATTTCATGCATTGGGCCTCTAGTTCATCTATAGAATGTTTTTTCAAAAATGCTTGAGGGAGATTTCTAGAAACAGTGGGACTCCATTAGGACCAGCAGAAGATATAATGATACAAGGACTGCATATGTAAGACTAGGAATTGATAGTCACATGTAGCTTTTAGGTCAAGAACATCTCTTCTCAGTTGATTCCAGTCTTATTACCAAGATTAGCTGTGATAATAGGAGCTCCAGAAATGTCAAGGCAGGCGCCTGGCTTCAGTAATGCCCACATAAACATTCCCCAACAGTCAAAGCTCCATTGAGAACTGAAACTTGAATGTATACAAAAAGCTCTGAGTGCACAATATTTACGCAAAGCCTTCCGGAACAAAGAGGGCTGGTAATGGTGCTGATGGTGGTTGCAGACACGCCACCGTGTATGCTGTGGAAAGCGTCCAGGTGGGATGCTGGATGTGGGCTTGCTCCAAAGCCTGACTCAAAGTTCCTGGAGAGGTGTCTACTGACACACAAGGGTTTTCAGGATAACTAGGTCCCAGGAAAAGTCAGGTGGTTTTTTGACCCATTAATACTTAACATTAATGAAGAGTGGCAGAACAGAGCTAGTCTTTCCAGGATGTATCCTTCTGTCATTAGCCGACGCCTCTCCTAGCATATCTGGCTGCTGCTCTCCAGAACGATGTCATTGCCTGGAGGTGGGACACAGTGCCACAGATTTTTCTGAAAGCCAGCAAAGAGGATGATTTGCACAATGAAGTTACCACTAAACCATTGTGTAAGTCCAGTCCCCAGGCTTCTTCTGTTCTGTAGTCCAAAAATATTTCTTTAAAAGCCAGAAAAATCGGTCAATATCGATAGCATGTCAAATATGTCATCAGCCACTTCGTCTTTATGGCGCTATAAAGTTGTGAAAGCCACCATGTTATATCCAGGAATCCGCTCCAGCAACTCTTCATCAATATACTTTTCTACCAAAGAAATATATTCATTAAAAATAGGCATGTAGGCCAGTTTATTCTCTTCTGTGTCTTCGAACTCCTGGTAGTAGTTGTCCATAACGTTTCTCTGTCATTAACTGGAACTCCACAATAATGTCCTTAAAATATCCAACCACAGCATCAAATTCTGCACAGAGGCAGAAGAGAAAGCACGGAGTTCTTTCCATCACCGCTGTGGCCGCATCCACTCTGCGTGGGGTGGGTGGGTCCGTAAGGTTTCCTACCTCCATCTGCTCCGGAGAGCCCAACTGGCACAGGGAAGCCTCATCACCGAGGCCACGGCCAGCTAGCTCACCGCCAGCTCAAGGCCCAGCCCGGTCAGTGCCTGCATGCCACCCTAACCTCAAGAAAAGAAAACTATAGACTAATTTCCCTGGTAAGTAAATAAGCAATTGCAAATACTAAATTTTTTTTTTAACTTATTATTAGGGGGGACAGGGGGAGAGATAAAAATTTAACATTTTCAAACAGAGTACCAGAAATGGTGTTCTATATTATAGGAGAATAATGAAAGGGACCCTGAAATTTCCTTCTAGGTTGTTCAGTACAACCAAACATTTAGAAAGGTAATCAATCACTGTGTTTAGGAATGAAGTTTTTCATTTTGGCTGCATTGTATGTCTAAGGAACTGAATTCTATTTTATGTAGTAAAGTACATACCAAAGGAATAAGCTTCTTGTTACTAGTCACAGGTGTGGTGATTCCGTTTAAGATGAAAATATAAAACATGATGTATCAGAGATTATACCAATAAATGAACGAAGGCTTACATTTAATGTTTGTGTTTCCAAAGAGTGACATTCTCAAGTAGACAAGAAAATATCCTTACTTTATCATTCATGAATAACAAAATATTCTATAAATTGTTTAAGTTTATTTGGCTTTAATGTTTATTTAGACAGATTCAAAATTACTAGTAACAGGCTACCCAGACTTCTATAATTCAAGCTTACAGTCATGCATCATGTAACATTTAGGTCACCAATAGATTAACAACCTATAGGACAATGGTTCCATAAGATCATAACGGAGCAGAAAAATTCATATGGCCTAATAACATTATAGATGAGGTAATGTTGTAGTGCAACACATCACTCAAGTGTTTGTGGAAATGCTGGTGTAAACAAATTATGCTGTATAAAAGTACAGCCCATATTAGTACAATCATGTATAGCACATAAACTAGATAATGCTAATAGAGAACTGTTTCTGGCTTATATCCTATATAACAAAAGCCTAATATGCAAATCAACCGAACAGCAAAACAACCGGTGGAATGACTGCTCGCTATGATACATACTGTCCACCAGGGGGAAGACGCTCAACACGAGAGCTGCCCCCAGCCCACAGGCCCCCCAAAGTGGTACCAGGAGAGGGTCCCCCGATCACCTTGCTAGTCACCCCATAGATCAGTCCCGATTGCCAGCCTGGCCTAGGGACCCTACTTGTGCACAAATTTCGTGCACCCGGCCTCTAGTATTTAATATACTTTTTAAAAACACATTTTTTAATTATAGTTGACATACAATATTATATTAGTTTTAGGGAATGCTATACTCTTTATTATTTTAGAGTGTAGTCTTTTCTATTTACAAAAACACTACTCACTCCCTGACACCTTGAGCAATTCCAGTCCTGCAAACTGCATTCATGATTAATTGTACCATTTTTTATCTTTTATTCTATGTTTTTACTGTACCGTTTCTGTTTAGATTTGTTTAAATACACAAATACTTACATATGTATAACTGCTTACAGTATTAATAAGTACAGTAACATGCTATACAGGTTTATAGCCTAGCTACATCATATAGCTTAGTTGTGTAGCAAGCTATACTATAATATATAGGTTTGTGTAAGTGCACCCTATGATGTTTACTGTTCTCGCAACAATGAAATAGCCTAACAACACATTTCTCAGAATGAAATGTATCCCGTCATCAAGCAGAATTTGGCTATATTAGGAAACTTACCCATTGTGTATTGCAGCTCTAGGATCACTGCTGCTCTTCACTTTGATCATCAACAGAGAGAGCAGAAGATAGAACATAGCCAAGCCAAAGCACAAACGGTATACAGCTTTGTAGCCAACCAGAATATTACAAGGGACGACACCTTTCTCATTCTCACAAAATCCAGGAATCTAATACAACAAAACAAGAGTTTGTGATCTAGAATTTTTTCAGTAAAAATAAAACTTCTATGTAATCAAGTAGTTTAAGTAAAAATTTGGAAAATTAAAGTTTGCTTTTCAGTTAATACTAAGTATGTAATCAAGGTAAGTCTGGAACATCTTTAAAGCTAGAAATTTAATTCATCTTTCACTTTATGTGAGCACATGATAAACTACAAACGCAAATCCTAAAGAGAATATTTATTTTGACTTGCAGACTTATTCTGAATTTTCTAAAACTTGCATTCTGCTGTGATATACTGAATTACCTATTTAGGAAGAGAAAAATATAATCAATAAAAGTTTAAAGAATTATATGATTTGTAATGGATCCAAATCATATTCTCTTTAGGGTTTAAAACCCTAAAGAAAATAATGATGGCTTTTCAAAAACAATGCTATGTAAATAACACCTGGTATTTCTGATAATGAATAAATTCAAATTTTTTTTTTAACTTAGAATCTTGAAAAAGACCAATGACCATTTCAGAAAGTCACATTGAAACCAGAATACAAAAAAATTAAAAAAATCTAAGTGAAATAACTGGGGGTAGTCCTAAGAGCTATATATACTATTTGCATACACAAGAACTTAAAATTACATTTAAGCTAAGAAGGCACTACACTTCCTTTTGGAAGTTTCTACACAGTCAATAAGCCCTTTCTTGGTCTAGTGCAGTCAACTCAGGAATCCAGACTGCTGGAGGAGCCACCATCTCAAATGTTGCACATGTTGTAATAGAAAATACTGTAATAGAAAAGGAGATCTTACATCAGCAAGTAGAAGCTGAGGTGTACCGTATCCTTCACAACCAGTACTGGGGACATGACCCTACATATCACAAGTACTCTAGGAAATACAAATCTTTGATGACCTTCAGAAAGCAGAGTAGTAGAAATATTTCGTGATAAGAATTTACATCCACCGACTAAACTATTATAACCATTGTCTACTGGACCCATTACAAATCATATGAACATCTCTTGGCATGATTTGCTTACACTCAGGACTTGAAATAACATTAATTGAGCATCCAGCTATGATGCTAACTACTTTCAAATTCATCATAATCTAATTATCTAAATTTTTACCATTATCCTCACCCAAAGCCAACCCCAAGCATACAACTATATGCTTTGAAATGGAGGTTCTCTGACATAAATATTCTCTCTCAGCATCGAATGTTCTAATTATCATTCATCTGGCTTTGGAAGGTAGCTAACTTCTGTATTTCCTCTCCTGATCACCTTCTTCTCCCTCTCCCTTTCTCTCTCACACAGATCCAATCTCTTATCTGTGACTACTCTCAAAATAAAAATTACTAAATCTCCCCACTCTAAAAAAAAATCCTTTCCATAACTCAGTTCCCTACTAAGACCACCAACTCACTATAAAACTCCTCCAATCAGCATTTTGTACCCACTGGATACATTTCCTCATGGCTTATTGATTCCTCTCCTCCTCCCCTTTAGACCCAACACTCTGAAGAAACTGCTTTTTCAAGTCATGAACTCACTGTCCAATACTCTCTTTCGGAAGACTGCACAATAGTACATTCTCTTGGTTCTCCCTTTTCTCTACCAAACTCCTTTCTTTTTTAAATTACATACTCATATTTTCTACTTCCTACTGATTCTCATTCTCTCCCCCCCCACCCACCTCCCATATGTAGTTCAGTACTCCCAAGTCAACATGCCACAAACTATAATAAATTGTATTTTCCTCACTGCTTTTTACAACCTGGCTCCATGAAAAAAATCTTAAAAATATAACACCCTTTCTTCTTATTATTTTTTTCTGGATTAACAGCAACAGTTTCATCCCAGTTATCTAAAATCAGAACCTTGCTATTATTTATAATCCTATCACTGCCAATATTTAAATCCAGATTCGTCATTTCTACAAAGTCTATTTCAGAACCTCTATATACTCACTTATTAAATCGCTGCAACAGCCTCTACACATAATTGTTTGACTTCTATGCTATCAGATCAATCTTCCCAAAGCATACATACTAGGTTCAAGAAGCTCTTTATCTTCATTCAGGTTCCTATTTTTCAATCTCTGAATACAAAAGTTCTACTCACTCTCAGAATGGCCTCTTTTCCTTGACACCCACTGAAATTGGCATTTATTTGGTTAGAATTACTTATTTTCTCTTATTAGCACAGCATATTCTCTATATCACCATCACAGAATAAGACATCTATATTGTCTGTTTTTCCTAAGATTATGAGCAATTAAAATTGAGATTACGTATTATTTTACTTTGTACATTATTCTGCTTCCAATACAAAAAAAAAAAAAAAAAAATCAGTTTCGTGCATACACACACTTCAGGTGTCGTTAATTTTAAAAAAGGTACTAACCTTATTCAGCTGTTCTTCCATTCCTGGTATTAACATGACACAAGCCACGCACACTCCGGCAAACAAGAAGACGACATAGATGAGCCTCGTTATAGTGGCGCTGTTCCCACTAGGGCAGCAGCGGCACAGCAGGCACGGGGCACTGCCGCACAGACATGGCACCTGAGAGAAGAACGGTAAAGATAAGAATGGCTTAAAATGATGAAGGGGAAATTCACGTTCTTTCCGCTAAAAAAGAAAAAGAACTGACCAAGGGACAAAAGGTATTTGGCTCACATGTATTACCTGTAAATTATAACTTAGTGTCATCTGGGTCAGAAACTGAACAAAGTCGAACATAAAAGTGCTTGCCCCTACGTCAAGCAAAATGAATAAAATCAGTTAAGACAACAAAGGAAAAAAATCAGCAGCAGCAATCAATGTTTAGCTAAGACAAAGAAAAAGGGGGGAGGGAAACAGGATGGGGATGGAATATTCATGATTACAAGGCCACCCTCAGCTCCCCAGAAATCATACTAGTGATTTCACAAAATTCTGACAAGTCTCAAATACCCCAGAGGTAAAGAGGTAAATTGGTGTCCGTATCTTTTCCCTCTTCCAATTTGGTGGTAGTGATAATTAGGTAAGATAAGATAAATGAACTGAGGCCAGCTAACTGTCTCTAATGTAACCGAAAGTAAACTTGGGCCAAAACAGAGAAACAGAGCCTTAATCAAGGGAAAAAAGGAAATGAAACAATGATGTTCAGACAAGAGGCACTGTAGGACAGTAGTTTCTGAGAGGAAACAATGTGAGCTCTATGACTGGCCCATCTTTCTGCCGGAGTTCCCAGTGCGGGGTACGGGATCCAGGCAGTCTGAGTTGAGAGTTCAGGGAAATGAAGACAGCTTCACTGGGCAGAATCCTAGAGAAAACTACACAATAAGCCCTGGAGATCTACAGAGGCTTCAATTTGAGTCTTCAGGAGACCTTTGGAATAAATTAGCCTTGGGAAGGGGGGGCAGGAAGAGGAGTTGGAATTCCCACAAGCCAGAAAGAAAAATCCTTGTAATCCATAAGGCATTGATTTAAAAGAGTTTACTCGTTATGGGGGACGGGGGGGGAGGGGGGGGGGAGACGGGGGGACGGAGGGGGGGGGATCAGCGGTAAACTAAAGGCCATTCCAGTTTCACCTAACAAAGTCTAAAAGCAAATACCAAAAAGATCAAATTCTCTTCAATTAACTCACCTATGTCCAAGAATAAAGCCCAAGAGTATTTTCTAAAATATATTTTATTGATTTTGTACAGAGAGGAAGGGAGAGAGATAGTTAGAAACATCAATGAGAGAGAATCATCGATCAGCTGCCTCTTGCACATCCCCTACTGGGGATGTCCCCGCAACCAAGGTACATGCCCTTGACCAGAATTGAACCCGGAACCTTTCAGTCCCTAGACCAATACTCTACCACTGAGCCAAACCAGGTTTGGCCCAAGAGTATTTTTTAACAAAAGTATTTTCTACTTCCTACTGATTCTGAGGCAAGTATACCTATTCTCACCCCTGGGCTCTCTATTCAGTTCCACTTATCTTTCTCTTCTTTTGCCAATACCACACTGTCTGATTACTGCTATAGCTTTATACTAAGTCATGTAGCTGGGTAGTGTCAATCTTCTAGCTTTGGTTTTCAATATTGAGTTGGCTGTTCTGTGCCTTCTGTAGCTCCATATAAACTTTAGAATCAATTTGTCAATATCCAAACAATAACTTCCTGGGATTTTGAGTGGGATTGCCCTGAACTTATAGATCATATATGAGAAACTGATATCTTAACGAGTCTTATTAATCTATGTCCATTTAAACTTTGCTCATCAGAGTTTTGTTTTCCTCATATTGATCTTGCAAATATCTAAGTACTTACAAGATTTATACCTAAATACTTATTTTAGTTGTTTTTGGATGCTAATATAAATGGTATCATGATAGAAAAGTGATATACTTTTATATATTAACCTTGTATACTGCAACCTTGCTGATTGCGTAGGAGATCCAATTTTTTATCTTTATTCTTTTGGATTTTCTACATAGATGATAAAGTCATCTGTGAATCTGTATACCTTTTATCTTTTTTTCCTTTTATCTTATTGCACTAGCTAAAAATACAAGGACAATGTTAAAAAGAAGTGGTGAGAGGAAACATCCTTTGCCTTGTGCCCGATTCTGAGATTTTAGTTTCTTACCATTAAGTATGATGTTAGCTGTAGGCATTTTGTTGATATTCTTTATCATGTTGAAGAAGTTCCTTCTACTCCCAATTTATTGGGAGTTTTCATGAACAAGGGTATGAATTTTATCAAATGTGTTTTCTGCATCTACTGACCTGATAATGTGCTTTTTAAAAACTTGCTGATGTAATGGATTACATTAATTTATTTCCCATTGTTGAGCTAGCCTCCCATGCCTATGTTTATGGCAGCTTTATTCATAATTGCCCATGATGTACTTCAGTAAGTAAATGAATAAATAAAACGTGGCACATCCAGACAACGGAATATTAATCAGGCCTAAAAAATAAAAAATGCTATCAAGCCATGAAAAGACATGAAGAAATCTTAAGAGGATATTACTAAATAAAAGAAATAAATCTGAAAGACTAACTACTATATGATTGCCACTGTATGATATTCAGGAAAAGGGAAAGAATTGGAGACAATAATAAAAAATAAAAAACAGGGGCTGGGAATAGGTGAAGGGGTGAATAGGCAAGGCAAGGCAATAATCTATTTTGTATGCTCCTATAATGGTGGATAAATGTCATTATATATTTGCCCAAACCCACAGAATGTCCAACAGCAAAAGTTAACCTTTATGTAGACGATAGACTTTGGATGATTGTAATATGTCAATGTAAGTTCATTAACTGTAAAAACTCTACAACCCTGGTGAAAATTGATAATCAGGAGGGCTATATATGCATGGGGACAGGGAATACATGGGAAATCTCTATCTTCCTATCAATATTTCTGTGAAACTAAAACTATTCTAAAATATAACCTTTAAAATGAGTATATAAAAATGATAACACATTGATCAGATGGGATATAGTAGAGAAAACCAAGGCTGGTTGAGCTGATTGAGCATTTGAAAACTGACTAATGCAATTCACCACATTAACAGGCTAAACACACACACACACACACACACACACACACACACACACTATAATCATCTCAATGGATACAGAAAAAATATTTTAGAAAAATTTTTACAAAATTCAATTCCCATGATAAACAAATACAGCTTTCTTCAAACAAGGTTTGAATAAAGGGCATTTATGAAAAATCTAGAGCCATCCAAACTTCCTAGTGAAAATTTGAATGATTTCTCCTAAGATCCAAAACAAGGCAAGGAAGGATACCTGTTCCCACCACTTGTGTTCAATTCACATTGGAGGTCTTAGCCAACATAACAAGGCAAAAAAAAAGAAAGACAAGATACATACACTGGAAAGTAAAAATAGACTCTACTTGGAGATCCCAAAGGACTTACAAATTGCTTCTCAAAATTAAGTGTGACCCACAAAAAAAGAAAAGTGATAAATTGGGCCTCATCAATATTAAGAACTTATGTTTAAAAGGCAGCATTAAGAAAATGGAAAGACAAGCCACAGACTTAAAGGTAGTATTTACAAATCAGGTATGTAATAACTCATTTGTATCCATAATATAAGGAATTATCAAGCTTAATTAGAAGAAAAAAAAAACAGCAAAAACATTTGAACATTTAAAATATATAAATATAGACAGCCAATATGCACATGAAAAAAGGACTTATTAGTATACAGTTGGCCCTTGAACAAATGGGTTTAACCTGTGTTGGTCCACATATAAGTGGATTCTTTCCAATAAATACCTGATACTATTTTTAATCTGCAGCTGCAAGTCCAAGGATGATGGGCAGGGCTGGCTACATGTATTTACTCACATTTTATTCAAGGGACCTGAGCACCTGTGAATTTTGGTATCTGCAGGGGTCCTGGAACCAAACCCCTTCAGATGCCAAGGGTAGTTAAGTTTTGGGGGAATCTAAGTCATACTTGGGAGTTTCTACTGCAGTGCCCCTAACCAACCCCCCTTGTTCAAGGGTTAACTGTACATTATACCAATCCACAATATCTCTCAAGAATTTAACAGACGTTTCTAAATATTAAAGAATACAGGGATTACAACATCCATGATCCTTTTTGAAAATTTTATATGACAAAATTTGGTCTATTAGGAGATGACATTAAGATTTTTAGGTCTCCTTTTCAGCCTTGAATCCACTTAATTGGAAGGCTTATTAAAACAGGATGCTGAGCCGTAGTCAATGTTTCCAATAAGTTTCCCAGCCTGGGGATGCCACTGGGTCTAGGAACACATTGGTTTAGTGCGAAGACTATGCAACTGTGGCAGTTACGGCCACATGTGAAAAAATAATACAAAGGCTGAATATATGACTTTACTCATGTTCCCTTTAGAAACACCAGTAGAATGAAAAAGGGATTTTTACTTAACTGATCTAATTTAATAATGTGAATACTTTTAAAAATTTGAATAAATTTGTCAACACCTCTAGGTAAATGAGCATACTGGCTGTTAAGACTACGGAAGAAATGGATGTGTGTATTAAAAGGCAAATTCTCCTTTAACTGCTGTGGAACTGCACTCCAACTCCTCAGGAAGAAAGAGACAAAGGCCCCAGGAAGGGGCGGAGGAGAGGATGGGAACTGCACGCTACACATACATTCCTAGACTGGCCACAATCGTCTAGAGCCCTGAATAGTCTTGGCCACCGGACTTCTTTATCTGCCCAAGGATCTAATCACTAGAAGGTAAGAAAACTGCCTCTTTGTTGCTCTCTTTCCAATGTACCTTGGGAAGGCAGTATCCACTCTATCACAGTATTGTGGTCAATAAACGTGGAAAACTGAATTTTTAAAAACGTATATAGGAATATCATTTCCCCCACACTGTTCACTAAAGCTATCATCTGACTTAAAACACATACACATAACAAAACCTTAAAACTTGTTCCTTTAACCTGTTAATTGTCCTTTAGGTCAAGTTCGCTCATCACTGATCTGGAGATGAGAACAAAATGGAAAACATCTACTCTTTTTAAAGCTTTCCTATATATATATATAAAAAAAAATGCCCACTTGATAACAACAAAATCTAACTTTATGAATTAAATTACACTATATTCTCCCCCCCCCAAAAAAACGCCAGCCAATCTTATAATAATCATTATTTTGTAATACATTCTATTACACTATATATGTCTCTCCTGTATAAAAGTCAATAGATACAAGTAAATTCCCTAACCCAGATTAAAAAAAAAAAAATACATCTAGTTTCCCTGTCCAATTACAAGAACGACCTGGATTGGACTAACAATCTCTACTTACTATTTTATTAAAATTCACCATTTATAATTCAAGCCATATTAAGATCTTTTGGAAGGAAAAAAAAGAATGCAAAATAAAATGCTGGGAAATGTACATAACGATGTAATTTGAGAAGTCAGACAAAGAAATTGTTAGAAGTGGAAATTAGGATTCATAGATTAAAGAAATACGATCTGAAATCCACATTACCTCACCCCAAATTACATAATCTTTATTAACTGTAATATCAATGTCTTGTTTACTTTTTTTAATGTGGGAGCGTGTGGTTATTTTAAAAACTGATGTTTATTTGTACCACCGAGATCAAGAAATCTTGCCTTTAAAATGAGAAAAAAACGATTTCATTCTTTTAACCACGCACTCTCAGCAGCTGAATTTTAAAAACCTATACAGGAATGTCATTTTCCCCACCCTGTCCACTAACGTTGCCATCTTTCTGACTCAAAACACATACAACATAACGAATGCGAAGTGCGCGTCATGCATCCCGGTTGCACAGGAACGCCCGGTGCAGAGACCGCAGGAGGCGCAGCGCCGCAGGGCGGCCCCCTCCCCGGCGCCCGCGCCCCGGCGCCCGTGCGTGGGGGCCTCCGCACCAGGCCGGCCGGGGACCCCGTCCACGGCAGGATTCCTGACTTCCGGCTGCGGCCTGCGGTCCAGGCGCAGAACAAAGAGGCCGCGGCCGCGGGGACGCCCTGCGGGAGGCCCGGGGGAGGGGTGCGCGGAGGGGGGGAGGGGTGCGCGGAGGGAGGGCGCCGGGAAGGAGAGGCCCGGGGACGGGCAGACACGGCCCGGGGTCCGGGCAGACAGGAAACCACCACAAAGGGGGCCTGCGGGGAGCAGCTTTCCAGACCGACGGGGGCGGGGGGGGAGGGGGTGCCATCAGCCGCCTCCCCTCCTCCCATCGGCGCCGCCTCCCGTCTCCTCCGCCCCCCGCCCCCCGCGGCCGCCGGCAGGCAGCTCGGGGCCGGAATCGGGGCCGGAATGGGAGCCGGAGCGGAGCCGGCGGGGTCGGGAAAGAGGAAGGGAGACCGGGGAAGGCAGGCACTCCCTGTGGGGTGCGGGGTGGGTGCCGCGCACCCGCCGGCCCTCGCGCACCCGCATCCCCCTCTCCTGCGCCCCCCACGCCGGCCGCCCGCCGGCCGCGCTGCGCGCCTCACCCAGCTCGCCATGGAGCACAGCCCCAGGACGCTCCCCATCTCCGCGGCGTCGCGGGAGCGGCCGACGCCAACAAGATGGAGACGGCGCCTCGCCCGCTTTCCTCGGGCTTATTTACGATCTGCGAGGCGCTTCCGGCGCAGAGCGTGCCCCGCCCCTCCCGGCGCCACGCCACGCCCCTCCTGACGTCACGTCCTCTGCGGTGAAGGCCCGGGAGGGGGGAGCGCGGTGCTGAGACTGCGCATGCTTATTGATGTTTCTAACTCTATCCCTCTCACTTCTTCTCTGTAAAAAGTCAAAAAAATATATTTTTTAAAAAGAATTATGAGAATATCCACACCCAAATAATAATTTTGGTGTCACAACTTACCCCTATGGTGATAAAACCATATCTTTGATGTACAAGAAAATATTTAGCTTTATACTTTCTATGGCAATCTATGCCTGGCTTCAAGTCAAAAGAAAGGTCAAAACACATCTCTGCTTTCTAATACTCTGGAAATTACTGTGTGATCAGTAAGGAGATCATTTCTATTATCCCCAATTCTTACATTAAAGTACAAGTTTAAGAAAAATATAGCTGAGCTTCATATTGAATTCACATAGCATAGTCCATGGCTGATGTTTTTCTACAGAACAAGTGTGAATAATGAAGTATCTTTCTAAAAGCTGGTTACCAACACCTTGCAATAACGCTCTAGTCTTCATTAGGGTTTATGATTATAGAGCAATATGGAACCAACATTCTGGAGTTCATGGCATTGGGCCTTTGTTAGCTACCACACATTTACTCCTGAGCTACTCTAGAAGCAGGCTAGGAAGAAATCAGTTTTCTATCTCATGCAAGGTTGGCATTTTTAGGAAGCATATGATATGTTCGAGTTCCTGTTGCATAGGTAAATTTTCACTGATAGCCAGGCTGGTTGTTGGGGTCATGCTCCTTTCTGTAATGTTGAGACCAGTCCTTCCCTGATATTTTTCCTGGAAATGCCCATGCCCAGAAGTGAGTAGTCTGTAGCATTTCATCCACTCCTGTACTCCCTCATCCATATCCATAAGGAAATGATTTAGAATCTTGCACCCCACATTAAAAGTTCCCTGTTTAGCCTAGAATCAGTGTCCCTCCACCAAGTTTAGCTAAAATCAGACTTACCTTGGTCACAAGTCTTTTCTGCTTTTATACACATCTCTGCATAAACTTTAAAGTTAATTTCTTAATGGACTGTAGGATGTAAAAATGGCAAGAATATAACAGATTTTGAGGAAAAGAATCAGGTTAATCAGAAATCATGTTAATTAGAAATTATGCTGCTTATTTCCCCTGTCCTCAGTAGACCAACATTGAAACTATTGTGATTTAAAACATCTTGGGTCTTCAAAATAAATTGTCTTACATTAGGATGGCTGACATTTGTGCATAGTAAATGTTGTACAATATAAGAAGAGAGGGGACCTATGAAAAGTATTTTATGACTTTACTCCTAAAATAAATTCTAAATGTAAATATATTTAAATATTCAACTTACGTTCTGTAAGAATAAACCAGAAATAAATTAGAACACAGTCACCTATAGGGGTCAGTATAAACTTAGAATTGGAAGCGCATATCCTGATTAAAGACAAACGATGTTAGTGAAGACAGTGTTGGGTATTTATTTAAAAAAATAAAAAGAACAAGCTATAATGTTAAAGGTACAAACACTCTCTTAAATTATTATCTTAATCAGTAAAATAGCAAGAAACAATTTTCTTTCTACACAGATTCTCCCCTCCCCCGCCCCCCCAAATCTGAACCAGTAATTCCCATGACAATCAGATATGTTTATACTAGTGAAGCAGATGACTGCAAAAATGTAATATTTACTTCAGGCAGAACATATATAAATTTAGAGAGCAAAAGCAAGTACTCATCATGTAAATAACAGAGTAGAGAATTCAAGTGTTTCTAATGTTTAATATACTATTTTATAATACTTGAGAATGATTACTTAAAGAAAAGCTAATGGCATTTAGAGAACATTTTACATACCAAGGGCAGTTAGCTAAAATATGTTTAGCACTAGGCCAGTGGGGTTCAGGTGTTGAGCATTGACCCATGAACCAGGAGGTCATGGTTTGATTCCCAGCCAGGGTTGCTTGCTCCATCCCCGTAGAGGGCATGCTGGAGGCAGCTGATCAATGACCCTCTCTCATCATTGATGTTTCTCTCTCTCTCTCTCTCTCTCTCTCTCTCTCTCTCTCTCTCTCTCTCTGAAATCAATAAAAAAATATATTTTTAAAACATCTGGAAATCATGTATAATTTTTCCCATATTGATTTATTATTTTCTATTTTAAAAAATTATGTTGACAGTGCTAAATGAATAGCTGTTGCTAAACCTTGTAATATCAGCAAGTGTGGAGAAATGCAATCTATATTATCTATTGAGAAAATCAATAGGGTTTCCTTCCTACCTCCTCTCCCATCCCCTAAATTCCAATAAAATAAAAGAACTTAATGCAAAATAATATTAAGTTGAACTCTAGCTCACAAAGCAAAATTTCATTTTCTATCTTTTTCTTCCTTGGTGATAAAAGGGATATATGCGGTACATTATGACAAAACATCTCAATATAACTGCATTTGTCTACTGAATGGGACCTGAAAACATTTGACCACCTTTATATGAACAGGGGTAGAACAAATGACTTTCTTGGAAACAAAACTGAATTTATGGCTTGTTTTGGAATTTAACTTAGAAAGGCAGAAATATGAGTTGCCACAAATTTTTAACTAAGAAATATTTCACAACCTTGAAGAATTTTAAAACGTTTCTTCTTAGCTTATAGGAATATCAAGACAATTGAAAGGTTCACAGCATTCAAATCGTCTTCTATTCTAGAAGTCTTGATTGAGGAAATTGGGATTAAAGAGATGTGGAGGAGGAAGCAAGTCTTGCAGAACGAGTGGTTGTTTTGACAACAAAACACATGAGATGCTTTCAATCATTGAGGAGAGAAGCAGAAAGATAAACAACTGAAAGAATAAAGCTTGATTGTGAGCATTATGTAAGTGAATAACAAAACACTTCGCCCACAGTGTGATTGCCAATAATTCCGTCATTATAGGTACATCTTATCTGTTATTTGTCGTTTTCAAAACCCCCAGGGGATTTTTAATTTAATATTTACTTACAAGTAAAATAAGATTTTTCAAATGCATTTATTCCTTCCCCAAAATGCTTGCGGCCAGTGTTAGTTGTTGCAAATGGATTGATCTTTTTATTCTTTAAGAGCTTTTCAGTTCTTCTTCAATAATACCCTCTTCTGTGGGCCTTGGTAGTGGAACAATGTCATAAATTCTTTTGACTTTCACAGCTTGACCTTCCTTCTGTAGTTAAAGTCAGAATGAAGGCTTCATAAAAATTGGGCATTATTCTGGAGAGATTTGTGTGGGCATTATATGTGCCAACCAATAAATATGGTAGCTCTTATATAAATAAAACCAATATCTTGTCTGAGAAAATAAATAGCTGCTATCCTAAAAATCAGTTGTTGATTCTGCATATTTTAATATTTAAATAAGTATTTCTATTCCAAATAAGAGTTTTGTTCTATATATTAGGAGATGTTCAAATTTTGTCTTGAAACTACACGTGAAGACACTTGCAACTTGAGTCAGAATGTTTAAGATTGAGAATCCTGACTTAATTTATAAGGTTATTGATTGTGTCCTGGGGTACAGGAGAAATATTTAGAGTACCACATGCCAACAAAAGACTATGGTGAACATTCATTCACAATTTCTCCAGATAAGGAATAACCTCTCTTTCAACACACATATAATATCTCAACCAGAACTTTCATAATTACTATAATGCATTGAAATGCTCAACTCTTCTTTTGTGAAAATAGACCTGGCTTCAGTGACAATTTATGTAATACCCTCAATATGCTCTTTCTCTGCCCCCCTTCCCACCCCATAAATTTGAAAGGTTCAATCAGATCTATGTTGCTGTGTGTGTGTTTAATTCCTCAATAAATAGTTGGAAGATTTAGATATCTATTTTTAATTAAGTTATGTCTTTGAGCCAGTTTGGCCTTTCTTTGTAAAATGGAAATTTAATTAACCTTATCTTTAGGGACTTTATAATCTAGGTAGGAAGTTCACTTACCAAATACTAAGTTTTGACTACTAGTACCCAATTTAAAATTTAGTTTTTAAAATATTCTGTGTAAATCATTGACTGCTTCCTTTTTCTTTCAAAAAAAATTCAATTATGAATTTACCTTATAGAATCACTATTCAAAAAATTATTTGCTTTTTGTTCTTTACTAGTTTTTTATTAGTAAAGTTTGATTTGATTATGCAGTCAATTATTATAATGGCGACTCTCAGATTTTGACTCCATGATCTTACATGCTCATGTATGCAATGATGGCAGAGTCTGTATTCCAACCACAATTTGTGTGGTTAAAAGATCCACAAACCTTGCAACATGATGCCTTCTTCCTCTTTTTAGACTTTTCTATTATTCCTGCTGTACCTGCTGATTGTTGTTCTCTTCAAGCAAGCTGCACTGTCTGACATAGGAGAGGCAAACTGAGAAGAGGGTAAGCATCAGGACTTGGAAGTTAAGGCATCTCTAGGGTTAAGCCCTGATACCCATTAGCGGTGGCACTTGGAGAAACTTTCTTAAGTGGTCTAAACCTGGGTTTCCTCATTTTCAAAAGAAGAGTCACGATACCAGTCAAGTTTTTAATCTGAGGGTTAGTGGACTAATTTCTATAAAATTCTGGTACTGACTGCAGTTGGCACTTTGGGTCAACTGACAGGCTTTCGAGGGCTTGGGAACTGGACACCTTGAACTGTAATTTCCTTTATATGGTCTTAAAAGTTGTCTTTGCAGATAAAATTCAGAGGAAAATTATGTTATTAAAACATTACTTGAAAAATATATGAAATGCTTCTACTTAATTATCAGGTATAATTGGTAATCAGCTCTGGTATCAGTTCTAGAAAATATTCCATTAAAAAGAATTATAATGCCGAAGCCTGTTTG